GCTGTAAGAACTCTGCTTGGATGTGAAAACTTTCCTTGTCCCATGCCTGCTCTTCTCTCAGCACGTGGACATGGACCTATCTCAACCAGAATTACTCTGAGCCCAACAAATGCCTGGCATAATACTGCAGAATGTCTTTTTCATTCTTTCTATACATTTTATTCTTAGCATTCTCCCTGTCTTTTGCCTTAAATGTCATGTTCTTCCTCCTTTAACTACAGATACAACCCCAGACTATGAGTTATTTGTAGTCCAGAATGTATCAATGTATTTTTTTCAGTGGGATTTTTCTTAGCCAGGTTGGATGGGGTGGTCTAGTGGAAGGTGTCCCTGCCCATGGCAGGGGATGGAACTGAATGATCTTAAGGTCCTTTCCAACCCAAATCATTCTGTGATGTGTTATTTTTGATACTAGGAGGAAGAGCAGCACAATCTCCAAATGCACCATTCAGCATTTGACAGTTCTTTCTAACTTACTATTCTCTATTCACACTATTTAGGTCTTTCACTGTTCCTTTCTTTGTGTTGTCAGATTTCTCTTTTGATGACTGAATTATCTCTAATGGAAAGTTCTTTCAGCTGTTTTCCTAACTCCTGCTCTATTTTTTTTTTTCCAGACAAAAGAAGGGTACATCTCAGCTGCTGATGCACAGTTCCCAACAGCCTGTTATGTCCAGGAAAACAGGCATATGGGCCCTTTATCTGTGGGAAGGGAGACACCCATGGGTTTCTTCAATTTTTTCCAAGGATTCCCAGAAGTCCATGATCACTTCTATTCTTCTCACCTCCCTCTGAGCACACTGCAGTCATCTGGGCCCCAAAACCCAGTTCAGGAAGGGTGAGTACACATCCTTCAGAAATCCAAATCCAGCACTCAGACAGTGCTGATGGCAAATAATTCGGTGTGCCATAAGACATGAAGTATATTTTAGTGGGAAGCCTCCAGAAACTTGAATGGCAAAGGGCTACGTTCCTGTCTTCCATCAGGCACTATATGCTGCTACCAAATGGATAGAGGTATTGGAGTTGCTATTTCAATCTTGATACTGTGCACCCCTCTTAGATTTGGTCATGCTAAGCAGCAATCCAAATATCTTTTGGGCTATGTTTTAGGAGGTAGTGCAGGTTCAGCATATGCTTTTGTGTTTAAAACAGGAAGAAAAATTATTCTTTGGAATACCTGGGATTCCACTGCAAGGGAATGCTTGAGAAATATTCAAGAGGAGGGTAAGAGTTCTGAAGAACTGGCAATGTGGCTACACTGAAGCAGGATCAAAGAGAAAAGACATCAACTCTCTTTCAGACACTGAGGTTTATATCATAAGCCTGAGATAAACTGCAATTTACCTAAAGGTCTGAAGGAAAAACAACTCCTTAGAGTAAAGCTGATTCTTTTATCCCATGTCAAGCCTAGTGAGTTCTGTGATTCCTGAACAGCTATTTTATCTGCATTTAGGAAAAAAAATATTATAATGGTCATATAACAAATTGACATTTGAAATTTTGAAGAAAAGACAACTTTTTTATGATTGTATTGTTTATACAATATCTCAGACAGCTTTAAAATTAGCAAAATTGTAGTGAAATGTAAGTAGCTACATTAGGCTGTTACCATGCGGCTGTCTAAAGGTTACAAATGAAGGTAGAACATGGCCATAAGATTAGAAAAATATGGATTACAGACTCATTCTTGTAGAGGACACTCTCAGTTTCTACAAGTTTCATTAAGGGCTAGATTGTGATACTTGATTGACACTTACCCGTGTCAAGTGATGTCTTAATACTTCTTTCCAATGGGTTAACTCAAAGAATTAGGTATTATTCAACTTGAGAAAGGATCATAATCTCACCTTAAAATCTGAGTGCTCTTAATGTACAGAAGCACCAGGCTTATTGCTGGTAAAATTAATGTTAGACTTTTGAGATGAATAATATTCATTGTTTCCCACAAATCATATTTTCTACCAAAAATCATACAAGAGCTTGCTTAACTTATGCTAAATCCTTGGGGGGGGGGGGGGGGGGGGGGGGGAGGGAGAATAGCTCCAGTTTCACTCCTAAGTGTCTGTTCCATTTAAAGGATATTAGCTAGCCAAATGAAAAATGCATGAATCAATCAGCAACAAGGACCTTGATCTCTGAATGAGACAATGCTGAGCTTTGAGATTTATGCTCTTGCTTCCAGAATTCCATTATTTGGAGGAACAACAACAATAACAATGGGAGATGACATCAGAATAGTTAGTGCTCTTCTTTTCCTTTCTTTTCCTGTTGATCACAAGATGCTGACTTCTGTGTCAGTCACCCCTGTCAAATGAGTAAACGTTTGGGGCTTTAAAAGATCACCAATTCAAAATAAAATGAGACTGTCTTGAATGGAAGAGCATTATTGCTGCTTGCATTTTGCACTGCTAATTAGTTTAGTCACAAAGCAATTACCTATTTCTTACTTTTCTCCTGTATTTCTTCTGCAGGCAGAGCTCCTTTTGATTTTTACACATAGAAAATATATTGTTGGAAGTTATACTGCCCTGACGTAGGGCAGAGAAGTATTTCATTCTAACCACTTGTGATTCTTGTTTTCCATTTCCATGGACAACTGCAGAACACATAATAGAGTTGCCCCTTCACTTTACATTATAAACTTTGGGATATGTACAGTGAGTGAAGTTCCTCCAGACACTCTCTGCCTGACAAGACCTGCCTAACAAGCTTAATCTCTTTCTGCCATAGTGCCAAAAGTGAGAGAAGGTAACAAGGGGATAGACTTACTGGAGGAGGCAAGAGGGACTCACATTAACAGTGTCTGGACATGGGGATACTCTCACATAGTGGGATACACTTGTGACCATATAGCTCTGGGGTGTCCTTGCCCATTCAGGTTGGAGTTGTGCATCTTATTAATGAGAAGTAAAATCCTGTTTCAACCTGATGCACAAAGTATGTGGAGAACCAGCAGAGCATAGATGGGGCCTTTTGTAGAGTCCAGGTCCAGACCAAACTCTGGATTAAGAAAATAACAAACAAAGCTCTTATGCCACCTTGAATATCATCAAAACACTCTGGTTACATGCATGAGTAGAGAAATGGGTAGAGATAAAGACTGGATGGAAATACTAAGAGGATAATATGTTCAACATATAGATTATTAGTAGACATTTCTAACACTGGTTTTGATACTCCACACATTTCTGGTAGGAGAAATAGGCAAAAGTAGTTTATTGTGAAAAAATGCATTCACTTGAAAATGGCAGCAAAGATCAGATGCAAATCCAGACCTAAACTCCCCTCAGACTAGGGGATATTTGAATTTAGGCTTTGTTCAGTGCCTTATCTTGCATGAATGGCTCCTCTCTGGTGTTGTATCCCTTCTGCAAACATCATGGCACAGCTCAGCCAGTGAGGCGGGAAGGAAGGTTAAAGGATATATCAGAGATAGGGATGCTCTTCCTCCCTGACTTCAGCAAGTACAGGTTATTGAAACCCTTGATGTAATCTTAAAATGCATCGAGATAACCAGCTAAACCTTCCCCTGATTGCATGGTCCTCATTTGGGATGACAGTTTAATACAGAATATATCATCTTGCTTAGAAAAATATTAGATTTAATATATTTTTAAAAATCAGATGTTGTCCATTTTGTATACTTTGAATGAGTACCTATTATTTATTAGCAATACTGGGCATGCTTGCTTAACAAGAAAATTCTTGTTTTCAGAGTTCACTTGCTCCTGCTGTTTATAAGAGCAGTTTGCTGAGACCATCAGTCCTCCAGCTTTTCAGGCCATTTATTTCAGACAAACCAACTTTTCCCTGTCTGGCTACTGCTGCTGTGCTTAGTGATGTGGCCATATAGAAGGCATTTCAATGTAGGACATGATGGCATTGTTTGCTGGTGGCCAGTCGATGATTCAGTGCCATTTCTAGGAAAAGCAAGTGACGGGCAAACCCTCCTGTGTATCTCAGATGTGAATCATGTTTTGGAGAGAGTTAAGGGTAAGGGAAAGGATTACACACGAGCTCAAAAGGAATCTGTAACCTTAAAGAAAAGCATGCCCATGCTTTGTGGCCTTGAGGAATTAGAAGGTTTGTACGTTTTGGGAATCAAAACACAATTCAGTATGAGGGGAAATGGTAACTGTAAGTAGGAACTACAAGTCCCATTTTGTAGGAAATTCTGTCTCTTTGAAAGTGTTTTCCCTATTCTGAAATAGAATAAAATTTCTTCCCAAGTTTTCCTTGAAGTAAAATGATGACATAAAAATGGTATTTAAAATTTACCCAAATGCTTTTAGTGTTGACTTTGAAAATTTTGAAACGCTTGAATTAAAACCCATTTTGACAGCAAATGTAACATCTTTATTTCCAGCAGGTATTTTTCACCTGATGAAATATGAAAATATGAAATCCTTTTCATATTTTTTGTAATCAGCTTTCCAGGAGTTAACATTTGCCATGCAATTTTCTGTTTATTTCTAAAATTTCTAGACAGGCAGGGAAAATAACTGGGAACAGTTACTACAGAGCTTTTAAAACACACCCCACTGCAGCAGATAGCTACAAATATGCTAAGCCTTTGCCAGTGCTATTCTAACCTGGTCTCAGCGCAGTGTCTCTTTATCTGCCTTTGTTGCTCTGAATGCTTTTGCAGACAGGTAATGTGAAAGATGGTCCTGTTGATGATACTCTTTTATTTATCAACAGATTTATGCTGCACAAATAAAACAAAAGATAATGTGACTTCCAGAGAGATCTGGAGATCTAAAGTTAGGTTTCCCGTTTTAGCAACATATTGAACTAACTTATAATGGCTTTTGTTTTAGCTAAGAGCATCACCCAATTTCCAGCCTGGTTACAGCTGCAGGAAAAGACTGGCAGCTAACATAGTAATGAGTCAGTATCTATTGAGATTCACTCATTACTATTAATTTCCCCGTTGCTTCCAACCGATTCAGGAACTACTTATGGAAATCCTTCTTCTTCTGTCTTGCTGAAATCCAGCACTGTTGCTGTCAAAGCTGCCAACAGGCGCAGCAATGCTACTGTGATAAAATAAGTCCAATTCTATCCCAATCTTGCTTTCCTAGGAAGAACAGAACTCATTAAATAATTATCAACTGTGACAAGAAAGTAGCTGGCCAAACACTTGCTGCTAATCTAGGCATGACAGCAGGACTATACCTTTCAAAGCAGTAATTAGCTAGATGAACAACAACATAAGTACCAGACAATGACATGGAAAGGACTGTCCCTAAAGGACAGATTTATTATACGTAGGGTTTAGTGTTTGTGTGACTTATGAATGTTATTTTGCAGTATACAATTACACTTCTCTTCTGCTGCCTTACTCTTTTGTTTTCTGTACAGTTTATGGAAGTGGGCAGAGAGAAAATCAGGAGCTGAAGCCATATGGGAGCAGGTGATGGAAGCTATGCAACACCTTCCTTATGTTCATGAAATGGGGGAGCCGCATAGATCTCACAGTAGAACACCATCAGCCTGCACCCCATCCTGTAGGAATAAGAAATCCAGTACTTGCACCCTGCCCTCATTTTATGTTTGGTCTGGTACTGACCTAGTGTTTATAGATCAGGTCTAGTAATCATTATTACTTTCCTTTCTCGACAGGACAGGTTCTAAGGTGGTGTAAATTGGTGTAAGTGGAATAATACAAATTTATCCACAGCATACACTAAACCAGCAGTCAGCACCAGTGCTAGAGATAATGTTCTATCAGCTAATATAAATCACAAGCCCAGACTGCTACCATTGAACGTAAAAGGCAGGACTACGATTGTACCTAAAGCCGATGCTGGAATTACACACAGCCAAACTTGTTTTCAGTTGAACTGTTCAAGTGCTTAAAGTTAAGCATACACATAAGTGTCTGCAGGATTAAAGCCTCCGTTTGGAATGACAGAGTAAATCCAAATGGAGATGGATTAGCTAGCAGAGGGCAGGTGAGGTGGTCAAAGGCACATGCAGTTTATCATATGGCTCTGTAATTTACTACATGATTATCACAACTACATATTTGGTGTGGGGATATAGATATACATGCACACATGTATACACAGAGCCAAACTTTTTTGGCAAGGGGGCCACACAGTCATTTCAAATTGAGACTCTGGGCTGCACTTGTTCCAGGACTGCTTGTCTGTTGCCAACACACTGAAGCGCCTCAGGCTTCAGTCTGATTCTTTGTTTGCTTGCCCATTAAAGTTCTTATCCCACACTCCCTTTTGGCAGAAAACGTTGTTATTTCTGCTTTACGCTGGCCTAGGCCCTTCTCCTGCCTCTGTTCCTATTAACCTATAGTAGTGACAGCCAGGAGCAAACTGAAGCAGCTGGTTGGAGACGCTACTATCAGACTGCGAAACAGCTGTTGTGCAGAGGGGCCACCCCAAAAACTTCTCTTACAGCACTGCTGGGCCGGATTTTGGCCATTGCAGACAGGGAATTGGGAAAAGAGGTACTTTCATTTGCAAATATTTAATCGCTGAAAAATGTAGGGGTGTGTGTGGCATCTTTATTGGATGTCACACAGAAGTAATGCTTTCCAGGTATTTTGCTGGCACTTGGTGTCATTGTCGTCTTGCTGCCAGCATGCAGTGGCCCCATGTTGCATCTCAGTGTGAAACTGATTTCCAATTTTTCTGTTTAAATTAATATTTACCAGTTGGTTGTTTTTGGCAGACTTTTATTGATAGCATTGATTCAAGAAGAATAGCCAAATTCAGCTCTTGGTTACAGCAGTGTGACATCTGGAGTTAACTCCACTTCTACCAATGTTACCAAGAGACAAATTCCTTCTTCTGTCTTTTTGTAGCGTGACATTTGCTCCATCCTTACCTATAGATATGAGCTGGGCTGCAGCTTTAAGTTTGGAAAAATTGGGATACAGCTTTGATTATAGCTCTGAAATGCACTGATTGGGCACTTCTCCAAGTCACTTAATAGTATGTGCATCTTAACCTTCAGGAACCATTCACTTCAGAATACCATTATTACATGCAGAAATAACTCTTAGGAAAGCAGCATAAATTAGGCTTTCACTAAATGCTTTTGTATCCATCGTCATTCAGGTGAATTAATCACTTCAGAGTTATTTCAGCTATTTCTAAACTAAAGATGGAGCAGAACACTGACCAAGGACAAGGACCTACACTGGAATTTGAATGGACTCAGAGCAAGTGAGATACTTGATGCAGCTGCAGAGTTTTCTGCATGTCCCACTGTGTGGTGGGGGCACATTGCTTCCTGATCTCTGTAAGTGCACAACAGTCCACGCTGCCTGGACTGAATCCACTCCATGCGATATTGATGCAAGTAAATACCTCAGCTATTTCTATGGAAAAGCTACAAAACTGCATGACAATGAGGGTGCAGTTGGCATGTGAGCCTGAGCACTGTTGCGTTGAACTCACTTTAAGAGCTGTACTTCGAACCACACTCCTGTTTGTCATCTTAAGGGTGGGAAACTGCTGAAAGAACAAAGTCAGCCACCAAGGCTGCCAAGCTAAGTTTGCTGTGACATTGATAAATATTCAAGCCAATGTCTTTCAAATGTTATTGTGAATCACCTTTCCCTCCTTCCTTCCCCTGCTTCAGTCATCTTGCTGGCTCAGAATGTTCACCTTTGTCTCAGACCTCAGCTGCCTTCACTTTATTGCATACGATTGCTATTGTCTTTGTCTCTTTTATCCGCTTCGCTGTGTCTCATTTTCCTAAAGTACCTGGCACCCACTTTTCCATAACACTGTTCCTTTGTTTCAGGAAAACATAATTTCAGGAGGCAGCAGAAATGCAGTTCCAAAGGCCACAGGGTGACATCCTCTCTCACCTGATCTTTATTCATATCAGACTTTAATGGCATTCTTTTTTCCATTTCTCAAGCACCCTGCAACTCCCTTCCTCCCTGACAGGAAGGCACATTTTATTTCTCATAAAAATGCTTTCTTACCAATCTTTGGTTCTTCTGAAGTTTCAGAGGCCCTTCTGTTAAATGTTGGTTTTCTCATGTAGATGGACCCGTTGACCTGATGGTGGTTTATTACTGTTTGGACGTTTTTCCTCCTTCCTAAATTTGGAGAAACTTATACTTTTATGTCATTTCAAATCTTTGTTGTATTGGCTTCAGCAGCAATCTTCCCAAAGTCTGTTTTTCATTTTGAGGTAGGAACAATTGAAAAGTTTCAATATCTGAACTGGTTGGCTTTCTAAAAGTAGTAGATTTAATGCACAGCTAATCTTGTGTTCACGGTTCAGACATAATCTACCTGCCTCAGATATCACCAACAAAAATGTGTAGTTTCTCTCATTTCTACCAAGTCAGGAAAGGATGCTGTTATGCAGTCCTTTATGTACACTTTCTTAGCTCCCCCATGCACTAAAAAAGGGCCCAGAGTCCATTGAAATAATACAAAACCTCAGTTGCTGATGGAAGTGGTATGTGATTTTCTGTGTATATTTTACACCAGAAGGTACGGTGCCTATTGTACATCCCCATTTAAAACTCAAACACAATGGCTCATGCAGCTGGATGGTGACCTGCCAATGAAGTTTAAGACAGCATAGACTTCCACATGAATCTGCAGATTAATGAGACAGAGAACTACCTTCTTTTTTTTTTACCCACAAAAGACTACTCGTGCATTCAGAATGTGCTGCAGACTAAAACCAAAGTTCAGCTCGCCGCAGGAGCAGAGAAGAAACACGCACAGGATACACCTCAGAAACAGCCCAGCCCTTGTGGAAAATTCCTGTGGAATTTAACACAAAATGATAAGCTTTTTGCAGGGGTTTGGGGTTTTTTTTGAACCATCCTATAGCTCAGATACGTCTGCTATTAAATTCTATACAAAGGCTCAAAAAAGTTCATGTGAAAGATGTAATGCTCCATAGGTTTTATAGTAATTTCTGTTACATTTCTATAGGACCCCCTTGTTTCTATTCCAATTATGTTATCTAGAACTTTTCATAAAAGACCTGTCTTATAACAGGCCCTTTCCCTCTCTCTCTGTTTTCCTTTAAGTATAACAAAATGTGTACAGAGGTCTATATTACAGTGTGTGCTGCTTACAACTCCATGATTTAGGTGTGCTACTACCACATGTGGCGAAGGCGTTATATGACTTTCGGCTAGTGAGCAAAGTAAATTAGTAAGCAAACTGTCAAAACCAGGCAAATATAAATAGCAAGTGCCTTCTCATCTTGATTAGGCTCATGAGACAGCACTGGTGGGAAGAGGGGGAAAACTGAGCTTTCAGTCTTTTATTAATGTAATTTTGAAGCGAATCAGAAATTATAAGCACATAGAAACTTTTATTTGTGAATGTTTTCTCAAGACATTATGTTGCAAGACGAAGTAAGTTGTGCAAGGATTAATTTAGCTCCTCAGATAAATAAAAACGTCTTCAGGAAGTGTTTGGCACATCTTAGCCCCAAAATTCTGATGTGATTTTTACACATCTGGCCTTCTGGAATACAGCAGCAGTTGTCTTAGGTGCTGATTCAAGTGGCTCCATCAAAATGGGCTGCTAAGCATTTGTCAGTGGACACAAAGACAGCAGGTACTTTAAGGCTGAATAATCAACATTTAACATGTTTTTGTTAAATGTTTCTTTCCTTTTTCATCTCCTATCCATGAAAAATTGCACAATTTAGCTTCATCCACCTCTTACCCTCTTATGACTGCACCCAGCGAGCTCCATTAGAGTTAATGTTCCTGGTGTTCCTGTGTTCCCACCCCGCTATCTCCTGAACAGTTACTCTGGATCCACTTAGAAAGGAGCAGATTGTGGTGGAAATTTGGACACTGCAGACAGGGACAAGCTGCTTACACTCTGGCAAGACCCAGTGGGAGTGCCAGTGGGATGGTGATGCTGTCAGGAGGGTGGCTGTGACAGTCTGATCACAAGTGACCCAGACTCAGAGCAAGTTAGGTTTAAAAAGGAACATCTAATTTAACTCAGCAGAGGCTCAGAGAGCAGAACTCTGCACAACCCTTCATCTGCCTCTTCCTCATCCTTGGGCTTGATACAGAAAGCTGAAAGAGAATAACATGGTTTATTGGTGGCCTTGGCAATGCTGAGGAACAGTTGGACTTGATGATCTTAAAGGTCTTTTCCAACCTGGTTGATTCTGTGATTCTGTGATACCTTTATAACCAGAAGGTGGTAATCCACCATGGAAAGATAGTTCAGACTATTGCCTAAGCTAATAATGAGAGGCCAAATGAATTTAAAATGGACTGGAGAAATGGCATTAATATCAGTTGAATTTTTCATTGTAAAGGTCACCTAGTTAACTATAACTATGTTATAACAATAATGGATTCACTAGTCCCTGTTTGTCACAGTCATGGCTTCAAATACAAAACTGCCTTCACATATGCCACTCAGAGAGAAGGGGACTGCAAGAAATTCCATATGACCTTATGATAAGCAATACAAATTACAGTGGCCAAACAGATGCTGTTTAAGATATGGCTTTCATTACTCAGTTTTTACATGCACAGAGGCAGTGATCAAAGTAATTTGCCATCTATAAAGGCAAATGCTGGGTATAATAAGAAATGTATAGAAGACTAAAAGTTGAAGTAATTGAACCAGTGAAGGTCCCATGGTCTATTATTTTTTTATCCTCTATGAATTTCATATAGTAACCATGTTTTAATCTTAAAGAGGCAGGAGATGGAAGCATAAAGCAAAGTGGCAGGCTTTAGCTTATAAATTTGATAACAGTATTTTTAGTCACTGATCCTTGACACAAGGATTACCCGTGCCAGCTTCTGTGGCTTGAAGATGTCCCAGAAAGATTTGTTGAAGTCAAAATGGCTTTAAGAATGACTCACAGGAAAAACACAAATTACAGCAATCCTCCTCGAGATGAGTAGCTTGATTTGTTCAGCAACTATTTTGTGTCAGTTTTGACTCATCAAGAGCTTCTTTAGCTCATGAGGATGCCTTTGATGCCGTAAAAAGATCTCTGAATACATGAATTACAATTCAATACCATGCGAAGCATCATCAGATGTCATATAAAAGGATAAGTTCAAACACACAAAGTGTTTATGTGGAGAATGTATCTACTTAGTTTTACTATCAGATCTTTATTTCATTCCTGAGACTACACTATCTTGTCTTGCTGCTTTCATGATTGTTTCAATTTGTCTAGTTTCTGCATATCTTTGAGTATTTACCGTTCATTTTTCACATAACTCCCTTGAGAAGCAGCTTTGCACTAATTTTCCTTCCTTCCTTCCTTCCTTCCTTCCTCCCTCCCTCCCTCCCCTTTCCTCCCCTTTCCTTAAGAAGTTCTGTCTCTGTGGATTTTCTCCAAAGATGGTTGGAATTGATGAGCTATGATTTCCACACTGCTTCCCAGACTGACTTGAGCAGTAGAGTCTCATTCACAAGTGTTTGCTGAAGTTGGTACAATGGGCCCAGCTGAACAGTTTTCAACTCTTAATCCTGTAATCCTAATGCATGTTCTGCTTTCTGTCTTTCTTTTGATCATTTAAAATCTTTCTTGAAGTATAGACAAGCCCTACTCCTCTTCAAGCAGTGCAGGAAAAGTACCATACTAATGTCTGGGGATACTGATTTCTGTTTCTGATTTCCTGTTGTTTGAGGAGGTCCTGACCTTCTGTTAACACAGTCATTTTCTGGGACAGAGTTTATGGTTGATATATTTGTCCATGCACTCCAATGTATTTTTACTTCCATTTCATATTTGCACCAAATCCTTGGGTGAATCTAAACCTAGCTATATTACCCAAAGGTGCTGCTGAATAACCTTATTTCCTCTCTTACATATTGGAATTTTCCAAATTGTTGTCTTAAAGAGCATTTTGTTTTCCATCTAGCCAATCATGTGTGCTACACTGGTCCTTCTACATGCCTGGGCCCTGTAGTCCATTTACCCTGGGCAGTCCAGGTGCTCCACCACATGTATGGAGTCTGACAGCTCCCAGTCCCACATAGCCTTTCTTTCTCACCACATTCACTGACTTCTTAGTGACATAAACCTGCAGTCACACTTGAAGGTAAATGTTCCCCTGTTTTTTTATCACTACTATTATTATTATTGCCAGTCTCTTAATTCTGAAAGCTAATAAGCACTAATAACAGACAAGGAAGAAGCAGGTATTTCATAAAATCATAGAATGGCCTGGGTTGGAAGGGACCTTAAGATCATCCAGTTCCAACCCCCTGCCACGTGCAGGGATACCTCAAACTAGACCAGGTTGCTCCAAGCCCCATCCAGCCTGGCCTTGAACACTGCCAGGGATGGAGCATTTACCATTTCCTTGGCCAACCTGTCCCAGTGCCTGCATCTATGAAACTTTCACAATGTAAATTTCCACAGTGCTAAATATATGAAATCCCTGATCCATTCACTGCCTCTGTTCTGGACTGCTTCAAGTACATCCCCAAAACAGTACCTGGGCAGTCTGGCAGATGTTTTCCTCCAGAAAGCATTCCCAAAGCCATTATGGACAGGACTGCACATGTTCCCAACCCCTCAGGCCAGATCTGTGCCCCACATCCTCTCCCAGCAGCAGTGTAGACTCAGCCAGCAGCTAACAGAATAGCTACCAAACCCTTTCCAGATCCCAAGTACATGGTTACGGTGCAACTTCTTTTTAGATAACTACTTTGCCAAGTGTGAGTGTAACATAGTAGTATGTGGCCTGACAGCTATCTTCCTATTAACCTAAAAGAGGCACAAGTCTACTTTCATTTAAAGCAAAACTCCCAGGGTATTTTTTTTCATTCCCCACTAAACAATAAGGATCCCAAACAAGCAAAACCAGCATCAAAAAAAATCTTGCAAGGAGTAAGAAATACTCAAGTTTTTGATTATAAAAAAAATAGGCTGCATTTGGCTTCATTTTCAGATGCAGACTGTACCCACAGTTCTTGCTGGTACCAAATGCAAAGCTGGGAAAGGACTGTGTTTCTTTATAGGAAAGCACTGTATTTCTGTATAAACACACATATGGAGGGCTTCCAGCTGCTGCTGGCATGATGCCTCTCATCATGAGGTCGCTTACAAAGATTTAGTAGTTTGCTGGACCAGATTTCATCTTTGAAGGAGTGAAAGTGCCTGTCACCTGATGATGGATGGTGGCTCTTCTCTCAGTAAAAGCCTGTGTATTCTCAGCTTCCATCCATGTAGAAAAGCAGGCACAGAAGGAAAAGAAGAAGAGGTGGTTGACATAGAAACCACCAACTATGTGCACGTGAATTAGCCTGCTGAAAGATGGGCCCTTCAGTCAATATGGAACACCAGAAAAGGGAATAAGAAGAAGCTGGCACTCCCTTCTACCTAGAGCATATTTAAGAAGGCTTTTTGGTTTCCAGAATCCATTTACTCAATGCTTTTTAGAGCACTGGGTGCAGCTAAATCATTCATGAAGATAAAGTGGGATGGGATGTTAAGGTAAAAAAGTAAGAGCAGTATTATTAATAATTAAGGAGATGCTAAAGGTAGAGAAGAATGAACTCTTTCTTACCCCTTCTCTCTCCTTCCAGCTATGACTTCATTTTGTAGGGGCAGAGATTAGAAGGAGAAACAGTAGTTTGCAGCAAAAGGAAGAAAAAGGGTAATTATGACACATAGAATATCGAGGCCTAAGATATCTGCATATCCAGCAAGGCAAAACCAAAACAGGACAACAAATAAAAGAGTATTTGAAGTACATCATATGCAGAAGAAATCCTAGCAATGGAATTAGCCAGTTACCAGACGAACGCAGTAAAAAGCCATATTCAATAAACATGTCTCTCCTCGACCTGGGAAAAGTAAGATGACAGCAGTATCATATCAGGCAACCAAAGCCTTTTTCAGTCCATTAGTAACCAAATAGGATGTTAAACATCTACTTGTGATAAAAACCTGTAATTCATCAGGCCAGATAACTTGCACCTGAGGAGTCTCAAATAGTTGCTGGAGGAGATTCTTCCTTCCACACGTTAATTTTTAATGGGTCTTGAAATAATATAGAAATTCCAGAAGATGGGAAGAAGACTGATGTTTTGCCACTATTCAGCAAGGACAAACATGATGACCTTGGTAAATAAAATCCAGCTAACCTAATATCAAACTGGAGGGGAGATGAGGGGGGAGCTAAATAATAGAATATGGGATTCAACTGATAAAGAATGAAAGGACAGGAAGCAATTAATGCCAGTCAGCATGGGTTTATGGAAAACAGGTCTTGTCAGACAAACCTGTGTATATAAATATATAAAGGGGGAGTGTCACGAGGATGGAGCCAGGCTCTTCTCAGTGGCAAACAATGGAAGGACAAGGGGTAATGGATACAAATTGGAGCACAAGAGGTTCCACTTAAACCTGAGAAGAAACTTCTTCTCAGTGAGGGTGACGGAACACTGGAACAGGCTGCCCAGGGAGGTTGTGGAATCTCCTTCTTTGGAGACATTCAAGACCCGCCTGGACACGTTCCTGTGTAACCTTATCTAGGTGTTCCTGCTCCGGCAGGGGGATTGGACTAGATGATCTTTTGAGGTCCCTTCCAATCTCTAACCTACTGTGATACTGTGATACTGTGAAACCTGATTAGATTACAAATTTGGCTGAAAAGGTAACAGACATTTGTAAGGCATTTGATGGAATTTTGCAAAACATTCTGGGTAAAAAGAATACTACGCAGTCTTGTTGAAATACCCACTAGCAAAACAGTGGTCTTATTAAGTGGCAAACCTCAAAAATGAGTTATCACTAGGAAGTCATCACTGAATAAAAAAGCAATATGTATATAGATGTGGTGTTACATCTTTATACGGCATTGTGTGGTTACTGAAATGCCACACAGTTTCAGTGACCATCTGTTATAATGTAGCTGAACAAAAGCAGTTGTTTGGAAAATAGCCACAAAAATCATTTTTAGAACTGAAGAAAATGCCTTATCATGAGAACTTTAGAGAATATGGAGAGTTTGCTTGATTACAGTGTGCAAATACCTCCATCAGCAGAAAAGCAGCTCACTACTTTGCTTTTCCAGCACCCCCAGTGAGCTGGGACAAAAAAGGTATACAGTTGTAGGGCCCAGGTCACCCTGAAGGGTTTCTGTCTCCACATCAGTAGCAGAAAAGATTAAGCATGGCCTGGTGGCAATGGGGTGTCCCTCATGTCAGGAGGGGTGCCTGACCTACCACACATGGCAGCGCTCATGTAAGCCGTCCATATCTGTGAAGGCTCCAAGACTTTTCTTTTGCGTGTAACCTCTCTCCAAGTAAAAGGGCAGATAAAATGACCCTGGATAAGTCAGGAAATGTCCTGGCCAATTATCTTAGGGAGTCTCAAGGAGTTATCAGAGGATCAAAGACCGTTCTCTAGTCTTCAACACAGAAAAGTTGTAGCTAGATGACAAAAGCAGAAGCAGGGCAAGAATGTGGCAACTTAATGATGCTATAGTAGCACCGGGTAAGATCCTCAGCTTGAGCAAGCAGGTGCTGTTCCTTCAAAGTCAGCTGGAGAGATGCTGAGTTACACCAGTGGAGAATCTGACATCTTGTATTTTTTAGTTTGCTGGAGTCCTGCAGTGGCTCCATAAGCAAAGGTTAATGCAGGTCTGCCAGGGGCAGGCTGGAGTTAACACAGAATGGCAGTTGTGAGGTTGCTGATTCTGATAAAAGCAAATTGTGAACTGCAAGCATCTGAGTGTTGAGTGTCACATTCACACCTAACAGCTGCCCTTGCCTGTTCCCCACAGTCATCCAGTTTTGTCATTGTGATATGTTCCTGAAACCACATTTGTGCTGCTGTCAGTTTTTGTCTTTGGAAATTTGTGTACAGCCTTTCTGTAATGACATACTAAAAATGCTTGTAAACTTCAAATGAGTAGATTAAAATATATTTAAACCAGGCAAATCACTTCCATATATTAGGCAGAAATTTTGAGTCTTTACTACTTCTAAGTCTTCACTGTCCCCCTTTAAAGACTTGCAGTAGGGATGTTAATATTTATATGGGTGAGGGCAGTGAAGAGTTTGTTGCTTTCATGAAAAAAGTGAGAAGCCTCCTTCTAGATCTGTGAGTCTTTCCCTATCACAAATGTCTCCAAAGAGAAGACAGAAATCCAGCTTCTCTGCTTCCATCAGTCCTCTCAGGTTGGGAACATCCTGACTATCAACAGAGCCAGGGCATCTCTGGAGCATTTTTGTCTATGTATCAGGATTGGGCAATGTCAATACTATCAACATGTTAACAGTGCATGGCAGAGATGTGCAAGATTATACAAGGACAGGTTTTGAATGTCAAGCCCAGGTCCCTCTAAGGCTGGGAGCACACCCGCCTGAGAGACATACTGGTGACACCCTCTGCTTGCAGCCCCTACTGAATTCTGAACTCATTGTCATCCGTGAACTCTGACCTCACAGGTTATTTCCTAAAAGTGATGAACTGCACTCTTCCTCTTTGAAAGGCAGCATTCCCCAGCTCCTGCTGGGATTTTTTACCATCACAATCTCTGGTTTGCAAAGAATAATATAGATTTACACTCACCTGCTGTAAAGCTGCAAATCTCTGAACCCATAAATTGCCAAGATGCAAGAAGCAGCTGCCTAGCTACAGCAGGAGAGTGTAGGGAGAACTGTGAAATCTGCCCACAAAGACTCTTAAAGTAGCTTACACTATTTTGTTACCTGGACTGCAGCATGGGATATGCTTCCATCCGTCCCAGCTATGTTGTCGTCACTTGCACTGGCCAGCTGAAAGCAGCTCATGGTACCAATAGTTCTGGGGGGGGGAAAAGACAAGGTTAGGAAACCTTATCTCTCTGGAAATCATTGCATTAAATATAGAAAAGTTAAATATACATTCAATATATATTTTCCTTTGTCCTTTCTCTTCCCGTAGGCTGCTGGCCTGTGATTGTTCCTTGTATCTACCCCAGAGCTGATTTTACTGTTTATTCCTAGCTCACCCTCCAGTTTGCTCAGGGCCCTGTATCTTAACAAGTGACTCCCCGCTCCCTTTCCAAGTTCAGAACCTTTCTGGCTCAAGTCTGTGGTGACACGTAACACAAAAAGACAGCTGTGAGCACAGGGCATGCAGCCGTTCTGCAGAGTACAGTCTGTGGTGCGGCGGTCCTGCTTCTGGAAGGTTAAGTGATTAAGCCTAACAGTGACTAACAGGGGTGGATCTTTTCCTGTCAAACACACACAATTTTCCAGAGAGCAGCTCCAAGGTGAACAGCTCTACTTCTAAAGACTCCTTAATTTTAAGGAATTCAAAGAGCAGGCATGACACTTTGTTCTGTGACTTCCTTAAACCTATACCCTACTTCACATCCTTTCATGAGCCATCAGCTTTCATATCTAAACCAGACGTAACGGAAGTTAAAAAAAGACAGAGAAGATGAGAAGTACAAGTCTCTGCAGATGTGAGGGTATAATTTAGCAAAGTATCATTTTATCACCCAATCCTGCCAGGTCCTCAACACATCCTGTGAGGTATGGACTCCCTTGCCTACCTTGTGAGCAATGGGGAGTGCGAGCACTCCAGTCTTTTTCTGGTTTCTTTCAAGCAAGTTTCAGCTCCCTGGTGTTGGCTATTTATTCAGCAGTTACATGAATATTAACATATTCAAGGCTAAAGCCTTGAGAATCTTCAGAAATTTATTAACAAGTCTGTGTTTTGCAATAAACAGTATTTATATAGACATTCAAACTGATCTGTAAAAACCCATGTTCAGATTCGCTGCTGATGTATAAAACCACAGATGAAATAGGGAGATCCAAAAAGTGTATGTTTTATTTACAGGTTTTGTATAAATGCAGAAAAAGGGGGGGGGGGGGCAGGATAAATATACTAACAAAGTAGTTACAAAGCTGTTTTCATTAATAACTTATTAAAGCAGTTTTATTTCTTGAAACCATCCAAAGTAAGCTAAAAGCCATGAAGGCAGCTGGTTGAATTTCTCCTGGAGGGTTTGAATGGGGCTGCAGGCCGGTACTGAATTTTACTCTGGTGAATAAATTCCTGATTATCTCTTAGAAAGCAACTTTTTCCAGGGTGGAATAAAGCCTATTTAGTAAATTATTATTTTTGTTTTTAAAACTAAATGACTGTTTATTAAAAAAGAGAGCTACTGAAATGCAGATTTTTCCTCATTACCTGAGGCATAATCAAATTGTCAGCTGTTCAACAGGGGTGATAATGTGGAACAGGAGTGTGATAACATTTGCCATCATCCCAGCTGGTTCCCCCCAGAAGACACCTCCTCACAAGCTTCTTACCAGTGAACCTACATGATCTTATAGAAGCCTATGGCCCAGCACAGGGTATGGTTCAGAAGTGATCTGATAATTCATATGAATTGTTAGACTTCTTTTATTTGGACAGAACATTATTTGAAACAGAAATGAAATCCTGACTCCATTACAGAAAGTAAGAATTTGTCATTGCCTTCAGTGTGACCAGGATTTCACTACTGCAGTGTATAATGCTGTGTTTTCTGATTTCAGATGCAAATGCCGACTCATTTCATTTCACCACTATCTATAAGTGCTAATGTAGAAAGAAAAAAAAGCTGAGTTTATAATTAAACTATGGCAGTGCTGGGATAAAGGTTGAACTTCATGATCTTAAAGGTCATTTCCAACCTGGTTGATTCTATGATTCTATAATGTTATAACAAGATCCAGTAGCTGAACAGACAACAGGGCATATTAAGGGTAGAAATAAAACGTGTGTTTAGTAGGTTTGGGTTTCTTTTTGTAAAACCACTTATTAAGGACATTTTAAAATCAAGACTGGCTGTTCTTAGTCATAGAAATGCCTACAATTAAGAATCCAAACCTTTAAGCCAGACATCCATGATCTACACTGAACTGTGTAGACACTCAAGATGCAGTACTTGGTTAGTCAATTAGATGCTGCTTTTGTTATTGTGACTGGGTACACCAATTCCATCCCTGCTGTCCATAGATCTACAGTGGATCATGATTAACAGTTAGCTCAGTGGTAGAGGGTGATGTTTTTTATGTTTTTCAGTGAATGCTCACACTTTCCTTGTTAAAAAAGTGATGGTTTAACTAATTCAAATCATTCTGGTCCAGAAAGATACGTTATTTTTGCAGTGGCTGCGAGTTTCATCATGTTCTGTGTATGAGAACATCAAAGATTTTAAAGATATGGATATAACATGCATTAGTTATATGGGATAATTTACTTTTAGGGCCCTGAGGCAGGAATAGGCCTTAATTTTCCCTGGCCAGCCTCCTTGGGGAACCCTACCCACAGCAGCATCTACAATGAGGCAGCATGGGATGTGCTGTGTTTTTGCAAATTGAATTTTGCACACTTTCTCTCCTGTTATTTTAGTGTTTCTTCTTCTACTTAGTTGGAATTATGCAATATGGTTGGAATATTATTCCAGAATAGCTACAGACTACTACTGCTGTTTTAACTGAGGACTAGATTCTCAGCTCAGCAACACAAGGGTAGCATTAGCAAAATGAATAGCTCTGTCACATGCTGCACCATTGATAAGATCAGAATCAAGTCCTTTCCTCTTGATCCTCCTGGATCCACTTTTATTTCATTTAGTGACATTCTCAAAGCAGTTTTGCAAGGTAATTTCTTTTTTAAGTTTGCTTCTTCAACATACTTCTTTCTACTTTACTGATTTCCTTCCTCATGGAAATTCTGAGCCTCAAATTTCAGTGTATTTAGTCAAAAAGGAGCTTGCCAATGATTTTCTGCCCAAAGAATGTAACACAAAACTACATACACAAATACTAATAGGAGAGATCACAATCTGTGGATGTTTACATCAGCCTAACACTGCTTGTGCTCTACAGGTGGCACCAAAACTATTTTCATTCAGTTTCATGTCATTTCATTCACGTGCACTTGTATTTCTGAAAGGAACATTCTCTTAGGGCTGTATCAGGGTGTTGTAAAACTGGTAATTACATGCCAAATAGGCACAAAGCTGTAGCACTTAATACAGACAGCTTTACTGGTTTCCCTTGGGTTGCATTTGGATTTGAGTAATAGATTCATTCAGTTCTAGCATAGGAATTCTTACTTTGTAGAAATTCAGTACTTTCTTGTTGTTGGAAGGTTTTATTTACAGCATGGCTGTTGCTGTCATATTCAGACTTCTTGTTGTTTTGTCCCTTTGCTGGTTGGCTGATTTGTTATAATGAGAAGCCCGTTGTAAGAGAATTTTCCCTTAATTCCACAGGATATTTTTGGTTCAGACTACAGGATATTATCCTATGATACTAGGAGGGAATGGTCAACTTTCCAGCCTTGAGCAGTAACCAAACTCTGGCATCCTCAAGCCCTGACAAGGCCCTGGCCTAATGCTCAGGGTGGCTCAACTGCAAGCAGGGTGGGATAGCCACCTCCATAAGCCATTTGCCCACCCCACCATCTCCAGTGGCCTTGCTTCCTCACACCACCCCAGAAATGGGTCACAGAATCATTGGAAGGAGATCTAGTCCAACCCCTCTGCCAAGCCAGGGCCACCTAGAGCAGGATACATAGGAACCCAGGTGCACAACCCACCTGCAGCCGGTTCCAGTGCTCTGCCATCCACAGGGTAAATTAGTTCTTGCTCATGTTGAGGTGCAGCTTCTCCCTCTGCCTTTACAGCCCTTCAGCAGGTGGCACAAATCAGGAAGGGCGGTGGGGAAACCTGACAATCACGGGACTTACATAAATAAAGCCCTTGTTATCCAAGGGGCCACATCACCTGAGGTCAGCTGCTACCTGAGGAACAGAACCGCTTCTCCCTCTGCCCTTACAGCCCTGCAGCAGGTGGCACAAATCAGGAAGGGCGGGGGGGGGGGGAAACTGACAATCACGGGTCTTACATAAATAAAGCCCTTGCTATCCAACGGGCCACACCACCTGAAGTCAGCGGCTACCTGAGGAACAGAACCGCTCATGTGCAGACAGGAGGCTGTGAGACCGGCGGGGTGAGTGTTCTCTGAGGCATTTGCTGCTGGGACTCGGGGAGGTCTCCCTGCCTGGGAGAGGGGTGGTGAGGGCAATTTCCCACCTAGGACCGGCCTGAGGGAGCCGTATGTCAGGCGGCTTCCCGCCTGCGCAGCCGCCGGCTCATCCCCCGCTGCCCGGAGGAGGCGCTCCCCGCGCCGGCAGGGCCTCCCCGGCTCCTGCTACCGACGAACAGGGGAGCCGTTCCCCTCGGCGGGATGCGGTCGGACGGGGTGGCGGAGCTGGAGAGGTTCGCCAGCGCCGGCAAGGGCCGGGGGCTGCGGGCGCTCCGGCGCTTTGCCGTGGGGGAGCTGCTCTTCAGCTGCCCGGCCTACACCGCCGTGCTGACCGCTAGCGAGCGCGGCAGCCACTGCGACGGCTGCTTCGCCAGGTAGGGAGGCCTGGGGCGGGCCTAAGGCACGGCGGTGGCGGCTCCTCGGCGGGGCTGACCCCGGGGCGGCTGCTCGCGGTTCGACTGGCAGCGGGCGGCCCACCCGCGTACCCCGGCTCGGGCAGCGGGCACCGGGCCCTCGCCGCGGTCCCGTTAGTAGTAGTAGGGCTCGCTGAGGGTTTGCCGGGGGGCCGAGGCCTGCCTTTGCACGGCTGCCCTGCTCCTCCTCTTCCTTGCTCGTGGTTCTCTGACGGTAGCGCCGTGCTGAAACTTAGCGCAAAACTGGTTTTCCTTGCTCAGCGGTTCGGGAAAGAGGAGATGAAACGAAAGAGTTGCTGTTCCGTATTCTGAAGAGTGCATGCGTCGCCTTGTAGCTATGGGAGCTTTCACTGATCCTCGTGGTTTTGTAGTAATGTAATACTCTTTGACTTTAACGAAGTTTTGATAACTGAGAAAGGGCCTAATTGCTGAATTCCTGCTTTGTATTGGTGAGAATGGAATATACACGAAGGGGATGTATATATCAGTAATGAAATATAAAGAAATACTCTATATTTCTGTTGTTCTCAAACCTTCATCATCTGGCAACTTACTGTGGCAAAGCACAGGCAGTGTGGGAGGTGTGTTCTCGTAAGGCTGTGAGCATTTAAAACCCGGTGCTGCTGACGCAGGTGTGCTTAACCAAATGGTTCATGGTGTGTTATCGTTGGAACACTGGGCATAGATGGGGCGCTGTGGCATGTCACACTGCACCGTGTGTGAGAGGTACAGGACTTAGTCCTGACTCCCGGGATCTTGCTGAGGACTCACAGTGCTTACCTGGTTATAACTTGGAGCAGATGTTAGCCTTTGCTTCATTAAAAGAAAGCAACTGTTGTACTTGAGCTGTTTCTATCGAATATGTATTGCTTGCATACGTAGACTGAGAGTCATACCAAAGAATATAATTATTACATTTTAATAGGTATTTTCATCTCTTGTTGTATTAACTTGTGCTTTCAATTTGACTCAATTTGACTCAATTTGACTCAATTTGACTCAATTTGACTCAATTTGACTCAATTTGACTCAATTTGACTCAATTTGACTCAATTTGACTCAATTTGACTCAATTTGACTCAATTTGACTCAATTTGACTCAATTTGACTCAATTTGACTCAATTTGACTCAATTTGACTCAATTTGACTATTTGACTCAATTTGACTCAATTTGACTCAATTTCACTCAATTTGACTCAATTAAGACTCAATTTGACTCAATTTGACTCAATTTAACTCAATTTGACTTATTGTAATTCATTTTACTCAATTTGATTTAATTTACTCAATTTATTTATTTATTTAATTTATTTTATTTATTTCACTCAACATTTATTTATTTATTTACTACTCATTTCATTCATTTCACTCATTTATTTATTTATTTATTTTAACAATTTACACATTTATTTATCTTATTTATTTATTTATTTATATTTATTTATTTATTTATTTATTTCATTTATTTATTTATTTATTTATTTCATTTATTTCACTCATTTATTTATTTACTCATTTCACTCATTTCACTTATTTTATTTATTTCATTTACTCATTCATCATTTCACTCATTATTTTATTTATTTTATTTTATTTTATTTATTTTATTAATTTTATTTTATTTATTTATTTTATTGATTCATTTGATTTATTTATTTATTTTATTTATTTTATTTATTTATTTTATTTTATTTATTTTATTTATTTTATTTATTTTATTATTTAATTTATTTATTTTATTTTATTTTATTTATTTTATTTTATTTTATTTTATTTATTATATTTATATTTTATTTTATTTATTTTATTTATATTTATTTATTTTATTTATTTATTTATTCATTTATTTTATTTTATTTTATTTTAATTTTTTATTTCTTTTTCAATTTTATTCAATATTCATTTTATTCCATTTTTTATTTTATTAATTTGATTTTCATTCATTTTAATTCCATTTGATTCCATTGATTCCATTGATTCGATTGATTCTTTTCCATTGAATTTGATTATTTGCTTTTATTGATTTGCTTTCAATTTGATCATTTGATTCCATTTGACATTGATTTGATTCGACTCCATTTGACTCCATTTGACTCCATTTGACTCCATTTGACTCCATTTGACTCCATTTGACTCCATTTGACTCCATTTGACTCCATTTGACTCCATTTGACTCCATTTGACTCCATTTGACTCCATTTGACTCCATTTGACTCCATTTGACTCCATTTGACTCCATTTGACTCCATTTGACTCCATTTGACTCCATTTGACCCCCATTTGACCCCCATTGACCCCCATTTGACCCCCATTGACCCCCATTGACCCCCATTGACCCCCATTGACCCCCATTGACCCCCATTGACCCCCATTGACCCCCATTGACCCAATTCGAGTCCCATTGACCCCCTTCGACTCAATTCGAGTCCCTTTTTATCTACTTAAGAAGGCCAATGTGGGATAGGCAAGACCGTAAGCGTGGGTAAAGCCCTTCCCAAATCTTCGTTCTCAAAGTCAAGCCATGAAACATTATCTACTTATATTACTTACTTTATTCTCCCCTCTCTCCACACCTAACATGCGCCTTGTGAAGTTAGTGGAGGAAGTCCCATTAATTTGAAGAAGAACTGGAGCTGAGGTGATTTTCCTCTCCTTCACACTGGTGGCTTTTTCTAGCTCTTTTCTGTTTGTTTGGTTTCCCTTTTATTCCTAACCACAAATTCCCTTATGGAGAGCTGCCTGTTTTTGTTTGTCACATCCAGAAGATTTATCTCTGTAGAGGACCAAAGAGTATTTCCCATACTTCACTGAAGTGAATGAAGCTATATTGTAGAGATAACAGTTACAGCTTTTAAAGATCATATCTGGGAGCAGCCTCTGTAAATGCTGCTTGTTCTGCATGTGAGCTTCTCCCATAGAGCTCAAGAGGAGCATAGTGAGCAAGGAATGTTCTGGATTCAGTGCGGTTGCAGTGGGACAGTCTGAAACCTACCTCACACCAATGCGATGAGGTTCCCCTAAGAGGAAAGGTATCTCATGGTGTAACTTGACCTGCCAGTGCTCAGAAGTGCATTTTGCCTTGTTGTGTTGGGACTGAACTAGCACATTCTGGGTTCTCTTGAACTTGCAGAGAGTTTAGGAAGAGGGTTGTGGGCTCAGCACTAGTCTTTGTGAAGTGGTTGGATAACTGCTGTAGTAAAATGGACAGAATGGAACTAGATTTGTATTTGCATCTGATAGTATTTGTGACTTTAATTACCCAGTTGTGCTTGAGATATACACTGTCAGCAAGTAGAGTCATGATGTTAAGCCTGGCTTGCTTATGTTGGCGCTTCTACTTTGCAAGAGCCATCGGAGAATGTCAAGACTTGGTACACTTGATGGACTTCAAGTACAAGTGATCTCTGAAGTGTTGAATACTGTTGTATTGCACAAGGACACTTGCCCTGTTTTACTCCAGTGACTTCACCTCAGTTTAAGACAGTGTTTTGCCACTTATACCAGGGAGGGCGTGTAGACTATTTATTGGATGCTGCTAAGAGATCCGCATTGCTGTCACAACAAAATACCACGTTTGGTAACATATGCTCTATTTTTGATGGAATTTGCTATAACACATGCACCTTGAAGCAGAAAAGAACCTCCCTTTTGGCAGTTCCCCATGTTGAGATACAAATATTAAAAAAGGAAAAACAGAGTGTGAGCTTCCTTAGGTCATCTTAGAAAACAGATATTGGAGCAGATGTTAGCAGGACAGTACAGGCTGTGTGGTGACAGGAGATCAAACAGTGTATTTAATAATGCAACACTGTTCAAACTTAAACAGGGAAAGTTTCGGTTGATACAAGGAAGAAGTTCTTTATTGTGAGGGTGGTGAGGCACTGGTATGGGTTGCCCAAGGAAGTTGTGAATGCTCAATCCCTCGCAGTGTTCAAGGCTAGGTTGAATGGAGTCTTGGGCAACATGGTTTAGTGCAAGGTGTCCCTGCCTGTGGTAGGGAGTTAGAACTAGATGATCTTCAGGTCCCTTCCAACTATGATTCTATGTTTTCTTGGTGTTGGGATGCAGTTATTGTTGAAACAACATCATGCTTTCTGTAACCAGACAGAAGCAATGGAACTGGCAGAGCAGAAGAAAAGGATTAATACTGATGGGGAAGTATGCAAAGCAATTAGGAAGTCTGGAAAAGAAGTGAGCCTACTACTATACATGATACAGTGACAAAAAATAATGCTGTCTATCCAACGGCAGAGAATAGCACGTTTCCAAACCCATCAGTTTGTCAGGACAGCAGAGTGCTTTTGCATAATAACAGTTGTTAGGAAACGCTTGCTTTTGAAACTAAATAAGCATTGTGTCTGCTCTCAGAAGATGGGGTTCAAGCTGTAGTTGCAGTGTTCTGAAGAAAATACAGTTTTCACTGTGAAATGCAAAATACTGTGCACCAAGTGATAGGGGTGTACATTGGTTTTTCATTCAGATTTATAGTCTAGAATAACTTCTGTTTTCTCTTTAAGGAAAGAAGGCTTGTCCAAGTGTGGAAGATGTAAACAGGCCTTTTACTGCAATGTGGAATGTCAGGTATGGTAACACAATTTGTGAAGATGTGGGGGGGGGAAGAGGGTGGGGGTTTCTGAGCTCCAGTTTTTGTTTGTGTGGCAATGATAGTCTCTAATTGTAGCTCTGGTTAATAGTAGTGCAGCTAATCTCAGCAGCCCCCAGATGCTGACCATGGAGTTGTGCATTGGACAATTACAGGATTTGGACATGGTCTGCATGATGAGCCTTTCAAGCTCAGTAGCTCCAGGGCTTGGTACCACTGAGACTTTGATTAGAGCTGCCTGTCAGCCCACTAATTATGTCTCTATTACTTCTTTCTTTAAGCACAAACCAGATGATTAAACGTTAGCTCCCTATACTGGTAGGAGATTCTGTGTCTAATGGAAAAATCAGATCACTCAATAGCCATCTTCAGGAGGGTTTTGTTGTGGGTGTTTTTTGGACTCTGCAAATATTTTGGGTGGCCGCAGCTGACCGTGGTCATAACTGGTTGAAACCCACCATGCTTTCTCCCTAACTCACTCACTCTGGCAACTTTTGTTCTTTTTGTATACCTTGTTTTCTAAAAGCTCCTGTAAAACAGCATATAAGCATACACTGAGGTAGAGCAATCTGAAGGCATCCAAAATACTTGCATGCAGTTTTAGTTCTGTTTTTACCTTCAAACTACAATAAGCATCTTTCAAAGCAATATTTTTGGCCAGAACTAGTATCTAGCCTTTTTGGGCTGTCAGCTTGATAGGAAAGAACTATCCAGCTTACGTGTGGAAAAACTCAAGTGGATTGCTAGCTAAATAATGTAAGCTATGTAAGGTCTGTGGTGCTGGGCACAGGGTATGGAGCAGTGCTCGTGAAGGATTTGAGTCACCAAAGATCTGGCATGTAGCTACGTATTAGCTATAAATAAGCCAAACCTCCTACATGACAGTGTGCTGTTGAGTGTGTGGGTTGCAAGCAAAGTGTTCATTGTCATTATCTGGACAGACGCATTGTGGCTGTGTGTGTTCAGTTCCTGAGCACTTTGGAGATTGCTCCCAGTTTTATTTCAAGGATGTATCTTGCTCTTCCGTTGCACAAGTTCCAAAGCTAACCTGGCTTCCCCTTAGTTTTCCTTCTCTTGCCTCCCCGCATTCCTGCTTTCTCACAGTGCTTTAGTGAATTGTGGGTGAATCAAATGGCCTTTTGTTTTTGAAGCACCAGGAGGACTCAAAATGCTCAAAAGTAGTAAGTTTTTAACAAAATTTTCAATAGTTTAGAGAGTATTGAAAGACTGACAGCCTGGCATGGCTGGGAAGAAATCAAGCGCTTGCTGTATGAGCACCTTAAGGCTCTGGAGAGGAGAAACCCCATGATTCATTCATAAGAAATGCTTATTTGTACGAAATGTTTCCATATGACAATATTTCTTAGGAAGCTTTTAACTAGATGAAGGAAAAATATTCTTGAACAAAGCAATTTATTGGCTGTGTAGTGCTTTTTACCTGAGATTGTGAGTTTCTTTTACCATATAAAATTCACAATGGTTTATGAAGCAGGTAAGGAAGATCTACTCAAGTAGGAAAGCTCAGTGATTTGTGCCAGAAAAAATAGCAAGTAGATGTCATGGTGGAAGTAGTAGAACTTATTTCTGCTAACCCATGGTCCTTTGCTTTTACCTTGAAGTCCGTTGGTGTGTAGGATGATGATTTGGGCATAAAGGTCTTTGTTAGATATTGTCACAGCTGGACAACTGCATGCCAAACACAGCTACTAGCACTTCACTCTTACTGGTGTTGTGCATATAGCTTTTGACTCCCTAGCTGATATAACACTATATTCCATGTTTCTGAGTCAATCTGATGAAATTTATGAATGTTGATGGGATTGAATTCTTTGACATTCTTTCAAAGTTACCTTCAGCCTTAATATTCTCTAGAAACCAGTCTCCACTGACTGTGTGTGCTGTACAGATGACCTGCACAGCATCTTCATCCCTGTCTTGTTCAAAGGCACTTTTCATCAGTTCAGCAATACTTTGTCAAAGCCAAAAAGGACATTTGTGTCTTGATGCTGAACTTGTAACGGTGGGATGTACAGTAAATATGTCCCTTTTGCCTCCATGGATGGGAGGCTTCTTCATGCAACACTAACAAAAGGGCAGGCCTGTACTTGAGGGTTATGATGGCATTGTTCATTCTGTTTTTATTTTTTAAGTTAAATTTTCCCTGTAAATCCATGTTTTGCTTGCTCAGTTCAGCTAAAATTTACATGTACCCAATCCATGGTTATGTTTTCCTATGTTGGTTAGTACTTTGTTGCTTACTGTAATTTAGTTTGCCAGCTGTTTATCATATGAAGTATATTGTATGGGTAGAAAACCAAGTGTTTTAAGCTTGCTCTTTTCTTCCTGAAAGATCTGCTATACCACAATTCATAGGAATTATTTCTAGTGATGGGGAGAGATGGATCAGAAGGAAACAAAGGTGCTGAAGTGAGCAGCAGGAAACATGGGGTTTTGATGTCTTTTTCAGCATTCCAGATTTTATAATTGCAGACATCTCTCTAGTCTGTTTCTAGAGATTTGTTTTGAAAGAGATTTCTTTTCCTTCCTCAGAATTCTATGGTTATTGAAAATGAAGTTAGTGACATTGCATGTGTTTCCCACTCTGTTGAGCCATACAGTATCCTTGTTCTGAGGACACTTTCCAAGCATTTAATGAATGAAGCCTCACAGCAGCCTTTGTGGCCTTTCTGTTTCCCCAGATGGGGAATGGGTACTCAAAGATACTTTGGCTTGATGAAAAGAGTGCATCTCCTGCCATAGGGCCGGGTGTTTGATGCATGGATCCTGTCCTGGTTTGCAGGGTAATTCCTTTGCTCTGGTTGGTGGTATGGTATCACATTGGAGTGTGAGCAACTGAATGTAGGGAAGACAAAGTCTTGAAGTGTTACAGTGGCTGATTTGTTTAGGGCTCCCTCTGTACGCATGTATTTGCACATGTGCTGGCCCTGGCACAGTTCTTAGTGGTAACATGTCTTTTGCCTGTTCTGGTCTATTATGTTGCTTTTTAGATAACTAACCTTAAGTTTGACCTGTATTAAGATGGATCTTTGATAGGTGTAAATTCAGTCACAGATGCGAGGCATGTGAGAGTGGACATTGTCTTCATTGCCTGTCCTTGCTGCCTTGAAATGTTCTTTGGATTGGTAGGATCCGGCCTGGGTTTGCTTCCTTGTGTTGTTCACCAGCCCCTAATCCAGTCCTCCTTTTAAAAGGGTTTGTGATTTCCAGCTGATTCATACTGTTCTGCTCTCCACTCTTGCCTCCTCGAAGCACAGGCCTGTTATTATATAGTGGCTTTCAGACCCCATCTGCAGCAGTTTGGGTCTTGACTTCTTAAATTATAGTAATTTTAGTGGAACAGCAGGAGACCTGTGCTCATATTTTTCCTCCTCAGAAATTAGCTGCTGAAACACTCTGAACAGAAATGTTTTAAGAGGGTTATGTGGTTGCAATTGTGGAATCTGTGAACTTGAACCAGCTACTGGAGCTCCTCTATCTGTTATTACACATGGCTATTATTTGTCCCAGACAGAGTGGAGATCAGCTGCACAAAGTGCAAAAAGAGATGTTTTTGTGATGACTTTCCATATTTGAAATATATTTCAAACAAATATTCACTGTTTTTTCGGAGCATGTCGTGTTAAAGAGTGCTGTAGTTGGTATTTTGGGAGTAAGGGAAATGTGTATTTTTAACTAGAAAGCCTCAATGTAGTTGTAGACCTGTAGAATCAGCATCAAGCAGATGTGTTACAAATGGGATCTTGTAGAAATTGCCCACTCCTCTTTGGTGAGCTGTAGAGAAAATACAAACTTCTTGCTGCAGTGATTCTGCACAAGAGGGATCTGACACTGCACGACCCTGCTTAAGACTGCTTTGGGGATGTGTCTGTCCCACTGTCCAAAAACTTTCTCAATGTAATTTTCTTTGCTAAATGTCTCCTGTGAACTGTTTGAACACTAAGCCATGGAAGCCAAGCATCTTCTGTGGCCCAGCATTTGGTGAATGATGGTAGGGAAGAATGGCTGTGATGAAGTCATGTGAGACTCTTGCCTTCACTGCTCAGTGAGGACTCTATCAGAGAACTTTACCTATTAATATTGGGCATCAGAAGTTGCCTCACTGAAACTGGATTAAAGAGTTGGATGCTATTTGAACATACTTGGGCCATAATCTGTTGAAGAAGTGGGCTTAACTCCTACACTCACCCAGCTCTTCTGTCTGGTATTTGTGTGGGTTTCTTTTCCGTCAAATGAAATAGAACAGAAATTGTTGGGTTTTTTATTTTGGTTGTTTTTTTCCTGAGCTATATGGCAGTGTTCTGGGAATGAATTCAGTAGTTCTGGATGGTGGAATCATTCTGAAGAACTTGGTGGAGAAGATGGTTTCCATGCTTTGATGTGAAAAGCATAAGCTTGAAAAAATTTCCCTTCCAAAAACGTTGTCACTCACTTCTAAATGATGGGGGAAAATACTGGGGATGTTATGAAAATAGGAAGAAAATATCATTAATGTAGCATCAAGGGCTCAACTAGAACAATGCTACTTGTTATAATTCAAACTACTTAGAGAAAAATGTGGAAAAGAATGCAAAATACAATCCTGCTGTGCTCACAGAGAAAACTGCTGCCACAATGTTTCCAGCCCAGGTATTACTCAGTCATCAGTACTCTCTTTTCTTGTGGTGTTTCAGGCTTTTATCTCATTTTGCACAATTCAGCGCTATCTTGTCCCTTTAACCTCCCTACTAGTTCATATAACTCAGTATGATCCTGCCTGGGGAAAGATTTTAATTAACAATGTATAAAGAATAAAGGGAACACATGGATTTTTAAAACCACTGGTTTGAGACAGGCATGTGATTTTTGCATTTTGATGTTTTCTTTCATTGGGTAGTATCTCCTGTTTATTTCACTGGTGTGTATGAGCATGGGTCCTGCAAGACTTCAGGTTCTGTGCCTTCACTTTTTGCCCATCCAACAATCACACTGGAGTTGGTGAGTGTCATGGGTGTGCAAGACGGGCGAGAGATGGGATCTCTTTCCCTTCTTAGTCTTTAACCTATGGGTTCCTAAACAGAACCTATCAGGGGAAAGGTCTTGGGATATACATGGAACATACATAGACCTATCTGAGGATTCATTTTGTAGTGTGACAGCTGTAGGAGAGCTGAGAGTGTAATTTCACATGGCATGATTACAGTGTAATATACTATTTTGGTTCTCCTGGTCTGTGTTGCTGCATCCTCTTAGAACATTTACACTGAGCTTATTTCAAGCAGACTGTATGTGGAGTTTTTTCTGAAGTCCTGTACTGAGATATCAAGGACAATGAAGTTGACATTGCGAAGGGTTGAATATCCTTGCAGTGTTGCACTGCTTCAGATCCTACACCAGGCTGGGGTGGGGGTTCACCTTTTTTACCCTAATAAAATCTTAAAGCTGGTCACGACCAGAGCAATTTAAACAACTGGTTTCAGTGGAAGAGTTTTTGGTGTGCAAACTCTGAAATTTATGATCTCAGCTTTTGTTTTGACCTGCAAAACCTATAAATAAATGGACCAGCCAAGGCAGAAGATGCTGAAGATCCTTATTCACCTGTTCTTTTGAGGTGCCTTCTGTTGCCCTGTGTGACCTTCAGCTGTAGCTCCTACAAGGAATGCATCTCCCAGTAGACCTGGATCATATTTACTGCTCCTATGTAGAATCACAGAATGGTTTAGGTTGGAACAGACCTTAAGATCATCCAGTTCCAACCCCCTGCCATCGGCAGGGACACCTCACACTAGACCATGTCTCCTAAGGCTCTGTCCAACCTGGCCTTGAACACTGACAGGGATGGGGCAGCCACAGCTTCTCTGGACACCCTCTGCCAGTGCCTCAGCACCCTCATATGGAAGAACTTCTCCCTTAGATCTAATCTGAACTTGCCCTGTTTCCGTTTGAACCCATCACCCCTTGTCCTATTGCTGCAGTCTCTGATGAGAGTTCCGCCTCAACACAAGTGTTTTAGGTAATCTAGAGTGTCTCAAATGGCTCTTGCCATCAGTGGTTAGGTAGCTGAGGGAAGCTGTTTCTTTTATGCCTGCTCCTCAGTCACTCTGCTGGATACTGATTTATTTGGCTTTAACTTTTTGTTTCAATGGGCTAACACAGGATCCATGATACTGGGTGAATCACAGTAAGGGGAAGTAAGAACTTTCTGGAAGTTGCAAAAAAGGTTTTCAGGTTTTTTATTTCAATTAACTCTACATTTGTGGGATTTACTGTGTTTTCTTTCCTCTGCTACCATTTTCCACCAGTTTAAATCTGGTCTGAAAACAAAAGTTGATGCTGTAGAGGCAGAACACTATAGGTCTGTTCTAACACAGTGCTATAAAAATGTGGCTGGGGTGAGATACATAGATAAATAACTGTGCATTGCTCAAATGTGGAAATATTCTTATTTCTCTATTTGAATAAATAAATAAGATGAATTTTGATGCAGTCTGAGGACAGCCTGTGCAGTGCAGTGTTAATCTGTGATTCTGTGTTCATCTTTGGAAGATTCTGTTGCTTTGGAGGGAATCTGTGGAGTGCCAAAAGCCCCGTGGCTTGTGTCATTGCTCCAAGTGTTACTGTATGTTGAGCTAGGAATATGCTAAACATTCTTAACTAAAACTTGTTTGTCTTTATTGGTGTGTTTTTTATTGCCTAGTTACACTCTTATTCTACAACATCTTGGGAAACAATCTGATAATCCAATTCAGTAGGTCTGGTTCTGACCTTCCATGTACTGATTCTTACAGTGATTGTGAATCCATTGACTTTAGATGCATTACTCCTGATTACACCAGGGTCTCCTTGTAATGAGGGGCCAAGGTATTAAATGGAAATGAACCCAATAAAGCCATCAAGCTCAGACCTCCTCTGTCCTCACGTGCTTGATCTGAACAATAAGAACTGGTGATTTATAAATCATGTTGTCTGTTTGCTTCTTTGTCATTTCATTCCTTTCTATTTTTTTTCCCCATTGAATAAATGAAGATGTTCTGACCTTAACTCATCCCTTGTGGATTTGTTGGAACAAAGCAGGATAGCTGCACCCCTTAAATGTGACTCCAGCTTTTGTTCAGATTTAGTGAGCGTCATCTTATTTTGTTAAAGGAAACACATTTCACTTGACCTCTAGGATGTGGTGGGACTTTCTGCATCCTCTTTTTCATCACTTTATCTTCATGGCTTGCCTTCCCCCCCCCCCCCCCTTTTTTTTTTGTTGGTTTTTTACTGTTTTTCTACATTTTCAGAAGGAAGATTGGCCAATGCACAAGCTGGAGTGTTCTGCTATGTGTGCTTTTGGGCAGAACTGGAATCCCTCGGAGACCGTGAGGCTAACAGCGAGGATCCTTGCCAAGCAGGTGAGCAGGAGGCTAAACTTGGGAGTTATGTTCCTACTCTGGGTGCCAGGGAAGACAGGAAAATGATGACTGACTGACAGTGTCCCTGCAAAGCACACACATACTACCTTCCTGTAATACATGAGCAGCTGAATGAACTGACTATAAAGCCACTGCAGCAGTTTCAGGGCCGCCAGAGACTTTTGGAGGGAGATAGCAAAAGGCTAGTAAGGGTTTTTTAAGCTGTGTAGATACAACCTTTGGCCAAGGTGCTGTTGAACAGAGACTGGAAGGGTTTACTGGCAGTTTCACAATGTGCATGGTGTTTCAGCCTCCATTCTGGTAGGTTGGAGCTCTGGCTTACACATGTGGGCTAGTACCAAGGCCGCACTGGTGAAGAGAAGGAAGAATGAGACTTGATATACAATTCCAAGGAGTGCTCCTAGTGCTACCTGTATGCCGGCATTGATGTCTGTATATAGCAGTTGCTATAGCTGCATAGTGTTGTGTAGTATATAACTCCTAGTGAGCCAAGAACACCTTTGAGGCATTCAGGCATAAATGTGTATGATTACTGGAGATAACTGGTGAAAAACAGATAGAGAGAGAAATTTCAGGCCCTTGGTCTTTGGGGGAGAAAGAATATTAGTGGTAAGGAAATAAGATTGCATTGTCAACCTCCATTTTAGTGTTTCCTAACTGTATGGATGCTGAGGATGACACAAGTGCTTACAGGGAGAGGACAGGATTCATGAGTTTCAAGGTTATTGTGCTGTGTATCTTTATAAAGCCCTAAACTCTCTCTGCAAAAACAAATCCTCTTTGAAGCACATTTGTGTGATTGAGGTCTGCTTATGTGACAAGGGCAATCTGGATACTATATGGAGCAAGGATTTTGGTGACCTGCTGCAAAGGTAGCGGCATACTTGCTGCATGTGTAGATGTGTATATGTGTGCGACTTAATTAAAGCGTGGTTTAGTGGTGATCCATAAACAAAATCAAATGTTTAATGACAAAAAGCCATTGGAGTAAATTTGTGCTTTTATCTTTTGGGGGGGGAAGGGGAATGCTACATGTCATATAAAAGCTAAAAATGCAAACCCTAGTCCCTGAACCTCAGCTGCTGGGCCACCTGCAAAGCCATATTTAATGGCCAAGATTACAAAGAAGTGGCCTTAGGCCAACAATGGAGCATTGCTTTTGAACTCTGTCAACAGTCAGTTTATTCACTTTCCTCAAAGCAAAGCCTGTCCCCTGCCTGCTTGCTATTGTTAGCGGCTTTTGGGGTGCCTAGAACAAAGTAAATGACATATTTAAAACACTGTTCAGTTTATGTATATAAATTTGGTAGGAGTTAATCCTTGGCTGCCTAATGTGGTGCAGAGAGAATGCTTCTGTGGCTTTACGAAGGTCAGTTAATTTAACTCATTGCTGTTCATCAACTTCTGTAAAGTCTATACAGTGTGGATTAGGGTTTGTCTTGCAGGTGGGAATACCCATCTTATGCATGAGTAGATAAAACTGCTAACTTGAAACAATACAATATTTTATTTTTGCTTTTTTTGGTCCCTTATTGCTAGAAAACTCACCCTGAAAGAACACAGTCGGAGAAACTGCTTGCTGTAAAAGAGTTTGAATCACGTAAGTAAAAGAGGCTTGCAGGTAGATGGAGGCAGTTATCTGTATTCATGACTTGGTTCCCCCTGGCCCCTCTCCATCAAAACTCTTTCAGAGCATCCCACTCGTTTTGGAGGAAGGGAGTAAACAAAGAAAATTGTGGTTCCTTGTTTTTTTAAACTGCAGTGCTCTTCTTGCTTTCCTTTTCCTTTCCCCTCTCCTCCTTGGTTGCTTGTAGGGGCTATGAAACAGGGTGAAAACCTAGACAGACTTAATTATGTAGCATACATCCATCTCGTGGGTACTGGTACTTTAGTGTCTTTTGAGAATTGTGATGTTGTAAAATTAAAATAGCTGGTATCTGTTACCAGGAGGCATAAAATCAGAGACAGCACAGTTGCTTGATGATGACAGTGACTAAGGGGCTAATTGCAGTACCCTCTGGACTGTGCTTCAGTATCTGTCACTGCCAGTCAAATCTGACATGTTGTACATAATTGTGCTGAAATCCCATGTCCTAAGTGCTCCAAAATAATCCAAGGAAGAAGATGAGGCAATGGCTTGCTTTTAACTGGAAGGCTCCTGCTTACCTCCAGTGAGGCAGAGTTAGAAGCTGAGCAAACAAGGGACTAGTAACCAGCCTGGCATAGCATTTCTGGTCTGTCATTTCTCTCTCTTGGTGCTGGGGGTAATACACAAGAAGATAATAGGTATGTATATTCACATTTCTCACTCTGATGGCTTCCACAGCCCTTTGTAAAATGCTGGATAAATTCAGTCCTTGCTAGGACTTGAGGTAGCAAAGTAACCAAGCACAGCAACACTACAGTCTTACTTGTTTCCTGAACAAAAGCTCCAGTCACAGCTCTTAGGACAACTGGGGAAAATGCCAACATCTGCCTTTGCCTGAGGCAAGGATGTTTTTTACAGGTAGGTTAGTAGGATTGAGGTTGAGGAGGATGGGTAAGTGCTGAAGTAATTTCTGTATTATTCTTCTGCACTGCAGCTTGTCTTCAATAATTAATTAATTCAGGAGCTAAAAGGACAAAATGATTTTTCTGTTGCAGTGTCGCCCTTGTCCTCTAGGAGCCCATGGTTTTGTTAGTAAGAGCCTTGTTCCTCTGTCTTGACTCTCCTCATCTCTTAGCACACCTTCATCATGTTCAGCAGTTGCCTTACATGTTGAACACCCTGTGAGAAGAGGAAAAGGCACCTCACTGTCAGCTGGAAACTCAGCAATTGTGGCCTGATTTGTCCAAATTCTTATCAAATTGTCCCATTTCATTTTCCTCTTTCTTTTTGGTGACTCTCCTGTCATTTACATCTGCTACTATAAATCATTTCCCCCTTCCACTGTTGTGCAGCTTTTTGGTTCGTGTATGATTTTTCTCTCCACTATTATTTTGAGTTGGAGAGAGAAAGCTGATGAGTGACTGGCTCTCTCAGAGCAGGAGTGAGCTGGTGACACTGCCACTGTTGGGAAGTGTTTTCCTAATGCTCTCCCTTCAGTCTGCTCTTCAGGAGAGAGAAGCGACCAGGAGTATACGGTCCATGCATGGGCCAGGCAGGAAAAGGTTCAGTGGCCACAGCCTTGACTAGAACCTGTCATGGGCTTGTGTGTAAATCTGAACAAACCCATAAGGAAATGCACTTGGCACGTGTGCCAGCACATTTCCACTGATGTTCCTGCTGTCTCCTATTATCCTCAAATATCTGCAGGTTAAGCGTACCTTGATGGGGACATGGGCATTCCCAGGCACTGTTTGTTACTTCCTGAAGCAGGTGCCTGCAGCAGGTCAGGAGGATTGCGCTCCTGGACACCCTTATATTGCCCTTCTCTTGGTGACCAGCCTCAGAGTTGCTGTCAACCTTTGTTAGGTCCCTGGCACACATGGCCACAAATAGTGAGTTTCCCTGCTGGGAAAGACCACATCTTTTAAAAGCAGGGATAAGCAGCCTTGCGGGCTGGTTTGTACTGATAAGTATTAGGTCTGTATGAGGAAGTTTCACTATGTAAAGCATGTTTTAAGAAGCGTGATGTTGACTGTGACTTCATACCGCTGTAGATGGGACTAGGTAGTTGATAAGATTGTGTTAGACATCTGTGGACAGGTACCCACAGTTCTGGCCTGTTTGCTAGGGTTAACAGATATACTTCACAGACTGTAACCCTTCTCCCAGAAAAGGAAACGTGTGTCCAATTACGTGCTAATGCGAAGTTGTTAGAAAATGCTTTGTAATCCTGCATGCTCTTGTAGTGCACGTGTAGTTTGGGCAGAAGCAGCATTAACAGACACTTCTTGCAGTACTTCAAGTAGCTGTTCCTTAAAGGGTTTCTGTTTAAGTCCAGGCTTGTTCTAACCTAAGTCTAGCTGCAGTTCATGGTAGAGTGTTCCTGTTACTGAAATGGAATGTATTCTTTGTCCACAGACCTTGACAAACTAGACAATGAAAAGAGAGAGCTGATTCAGACCGACATTGCTGCTCTTCATCACTTTTACTCAAAGCACTTGGAGTACCCTGACAATGCTGCCCTTGTAGTTCTCTTTGCACAAGTAAGTTGGCTAGAGCACAGCCTGCTTAGGTGGATGGTGCTGTAGGAGTTTAGCCCTTGTGAAGGGGGAGAGGCATTAATGGCAGTGGAAGTGGTAGCTCTTCACTTACCTTAGAGCTGAGTGTGCTTGATGGAGAAGATCCACTTCCTTGAGGACAAGCGACGGGACATGTCCCATTTCAGTAGGGAAGAGGCTCTTGTCTGTAGGATTTCTGTGAGGTGCTTCTCAAACACTGAAGAAAGGAGGGAAACAGCCTGTATTAGACCCTGTCAAAGTTAGGCTTCTTGTGTGCCAAGGGTAGTACAGCTCTTGTTTGACTTACACAGAAGGCTGCTGGTCTGAGACCCTGCAGGAGCAAAATCCTTCAGGCTTCAGACCTGTGGAAATCCTTGTGGGCTGGGTCATCCTGTGTTTGACCTTTGCAGGGAGTAAACTTCAGAGAAGTAGAAAGAGCAGTCTGAAACTTTGATCTGGTGTGTGGCTTTTAAATGCAGTCAGGTAGTTTGGTCATCTGGAGAGATGAAGGAAGGGCAAGGTGTCTGGTTAGATAGCTTCTGAAATGTGTCATCTCTTTTTTTTTTGTGGGTTTTCTTTTCTCTCCTGCTTTTCATATGCATCTAAATGGAATGTATTGTAGTGAATGGAATAATTCACCAGTAGAATACTGAAAGATCCATTTTCTTTCTTCTGGTACTTCAAAATAAGCTAGTTTTAAACTTCAGCATCTAAGTAAAAAGTTTATTTTTGTTTGAGATGGGGGCAAGTGAGTGCTGTGATGAAAGCTGAGGTGGCAGGACCTTGGCACAGTTACTCTTTCCTTAATCCAGAGGTACAGAGGGGAGTGTTTCTTTAACATGTTTGGCATCTGCTCGTCATCCATTGTGTTGTTTCTAATGTCACTTTTCCCTGCAATGAAAAGTTCTTTCTGTTGTGAAGACTTCACAATTTATATTCATCAGTGGGATACTTTAAATACATCAGTACATCCGATTCCTTGGGGTGTTTCTGAATGCTTTTGTTACCATGTCGCCAGAATCCCCAAAGGTTATATTATTTTGGGCTATGACTTCCCCTTCACCTCTTGTCCTGCACCAGCTCCACTAGATCATGGTACTTTAACTGACTTTTGTCAACTGCTGACTCCCAGATGTGCTATTTCGTCCAGTCTTCTCTGGAGATTTAATGTCTGGTTTCATATCACCCTTAGTTGTCACCTTAAGCTCATTCTGATCGTCTGCTACTGTGGACTTCACCATTTCTTGAACTAAAATCTCCAAAGGTCACTCAGATGCTACTCAGAAGTGATTTACAGGACACAAGTCTTTTGGGGTTTTAGCCCCAGCATAAATCTTCCTAGAAGAAGGGGAGGAGTGTCTGTACTTGGTATGTACAAGAATGAGTGAACTTGACCTAAAACCAATAGTATGGGTATGCAGCTCTCCTTTGTTCTGCTTCAACAGTTCCTCTGGCCTCATGTTGTGTACCTCGCTGTTCCATTTGGTGTTCCTTCTCCCTGTGGATCAGGGCAGTCATTTGGGACTTGGATACGTCTGACTCCTTCCTCGCTGCTTTCTGTGGGCTTTGTGTGATGTTTCTAACTCAACGCAGCTAAGGTATAGTCAGTCCTTCTGAGTGGCGCAAAGGACCCCAGATGCTGGTATCAGTCTCTTTTGCCCCTGTAGAACATAGCTGTTGAGACTGGTGCTCTTCCTCCTCAGTCTCGCCTTGTCATACTCTTCAGACAGTTTCTCTCTTGTCCCAGGTTCCTGAACTCATCCTTTCCTAGAAGACCTTGAATAATTTCATGCTTCTCTTTGCACATTCTCTTTTCCACCACTGGGAACAGCCTCAAGCTCTACTGTTGTGTCTTTTCTCCCTCCATGTTGCCCTTTTCAGTCATACATTCATCAGGTGAAACCAGTGGTATCTCATCCCTTCTGTCATTTCTGATATGATGCATTCAAGAAGTGGGCTGTCTCTGGCTTAGTGGAGGGAGTTGATGACAACACACTACATCTTTTTAAGTATTTCCCTGTGATTCAGAACCATCATGCTGTTCTTCTATTTCAGCCTTTGTAGCCTTATGTTATCCCTTGCTGTTGATGTAATCTTTCCCTTCTATTGTTTTTGTTTTCAGCAGTTACATTTTGGTTTTGGTTCAGGTATGTTCATGCATTGGCTAGAGCAGTAGCATGCCTGTCTTGAGAGACAGGGAGCCTTTGGATGCTACCTTGCTAAAAATAGGATAAAGATCAAGCAAAGATAGCAAAGGTATTTATGAGTGAATCAGAGAAACAGAACTCTTACCTTTGAGTTCATCCTGAACACTTCATACCTCAGGAGTGGCTTTGGCTTTCAGAAGTATCTGTGTATTTCTAAAATCCATTCTGAGCTGCGTTCCAGCTTGTGGGATGTATCATTGTTGGTGGTATTTGTTGTCAACTCTTACCTTTCCAGAGCAAATACTTACCCTGTATTTGATTGACTGCTCCTGTGCCCATTGTAGCTTCAGTTGGACTTAGCCATGTGATAGTAGTAGTAGTTACTCTAGTGCTTTCCTGGTGCTTCTGTGAACATTTAGGTCGTAGGGAGATGCTGGTGTGTGTGGAGAGGTTGGCATCTGTGTGACTCACAGTGAAAGTAGAATAAAGTGATCAGTTGAGGTGTGTTTTTTGTCACTTAGTTGCACAAACAGCGTTAAACAAAGCTGAAACTCCTGTATGAGTGCCTTGAGTTTAGTGAAATAAAAGAGGGAGAAGGTTTTAAAATCAGATTGAATCTATCCTATGAAAAAGGATTTATAAACGAGCTCTTTTGGTCCTGTATCTGTTTATATTAGAAATACATTTCCTCTCGTACTCTGTCCTTCTTCTGTCCCCTCCTATTCTGTGTCTTTACTAGGCTCAAGTTTTTCCCACTGCCTTCGTTCTTTATATGTGCTTTAGCTGTAGCTGGTATGTGCAGTGCTTGATGACAGATGTCACTGTGGCAGGTCTCTGTACCATATGCTCCATGAGGGCTGTGTACTGTTCCAGCCCTGCTGAGTTTGCTGCTCTTCATCCCCACATCCTAATACGTATAGTTCTGCTCTGGCCCTTTTATTTGTCATAGCCAAATGAAGTCTTTTTGCCCTGTCAGTGTCAGGTTTTCTTTCATGCAATGGCCTCACTTTGACACTTTCAAGCCCCATTTCTTTTGGTGGACTTCTCAAGAAGCAGCCATCCCATATTGTGTCCAGAATAGGTGCAAGTGTTGGGACTGTCAGTTGTTGAGTGTCCTGCCCATTCCTTCGAACAGGGACTTTGTCTTCACTTTTTAAGATGTCATGTAGCTCCCTGTGAGTACTGGTGAGGTGGAAAGAAAACTGTAAGCAAACTACTGCAATTGACTTTGAAGTATAAGAATGTGACATGAGTGTGGAGTGCGTAGCAGACCTGAAACTGATCCAGCCTCTTTCTCTTTTTCCTTAGGTTAACTGTAATGGCTTCACAATTGAAGATGAAGAACTCTCCCATTTGGGATCAGCCATATTTCCTGAGTAGGTTGATGCTGATATTTTGCAAGTTAAAATTTACTTCCTTAAAAAACCCCAAAGATTGTTGCACATCTATGGAAGTAGATCTTTACTGAAAGAAATTTAATTAAACACCTAATTGTCTGGTTTTAAATGCCTTTGATTAGCAAATAAAATATGGCCAAAGGTTTCCTGCAGGTTTCTGTAAATATCTGGTGATTTTGTTAAAATTGCACCTGTAATTTATTTTGAAGCTTAGAGGCTGGTAGGAAACACTTCCTTGGCTAGCAGGTTCTGGACAGGGACATCATGTAATGATCAAAGCAAAATGAAGAGGATTGCAGGTGAATTGCTCTATCCACAGCCTTCTGTTTTGGCTGGGTATAATCCTTCACCTGGTGTTCTCTTAACAAGGTCCCTTCTACCTTTGTTCCTCAGCAGACAGTAAATCCCTTTTGTAACTTCTGTCAGCCTCCTTGTTGTGACAGTGGAAAAAAACTTGTGCACGTTTCTTAGCTTTACAAGGAGTCTGCAGATGTTAACTGCAGTTTGTGGACTGGGGAGCACAGCTCTTTTTGCAGTCTGAGGAGCATCTTTTCCATTTAAATGGAAGTGTCCTTCCCACTTCTTGTAGCCAAGGAGGATGTTTTCCACCCCTGTTCTCTGCAAACCCTGTACTGAAAGTGTTATCACTGGCTGGTTAGGTTGACTTCCTTGTGAGGCATAGATTACCAGTAGTTTATCTGTGTCAAAGTAATCTGAAACTTCCAGATGCCTCATTGAAGCAGGACCTGATTTCGTTAAGTGCTGCATACAGACAATAGTAGATAGTCTTTGCTTCACAGATTCTCCTCCTTCAGGCAGGCCTGTCTGAAGTCTATCTGTGATTTACAGATTGGAAATTAAGACCTTGAAATGCACAGGATCAGAGTCATGATGAGGAGAGAATGAAACCAGGATGTTCTGGAAACGCATCTATCACCACCCTTTGTTTGTAAATGATTAGCATGCAAGAGCCAGATTTTTCCTACTTAACAGCTATGCCTGTGAGCTTAAAAGACTGAAGAGACAATCATGATTTTGCTAGAGAAAGAATCAAAATGATGCCTTTTATCTCAAATAAGCAGCCAATTGCACTTTCTCCAAGCTTGGTAGTAAGGGGGAGTTGTTTTCCTGAGCAGTCCCAAGTTTTTCGGTAAGTTGTGAGCTTGTATAAGAGGGATCTCTTCCTTCCCCACTTCAGAAATGGAGGCTGTTTACCTTTTCATAGGAGCCTTAAGTTTTGATGTAGTAAGTGACTTCTGTTTGCTTGTATTTGCTTGTTTCCTTTAGGTTAGATTTGTTTCTCTTCCTTTCTTTGAGGAAAACTGTCCATCAAGGGTACCTAAATAGGATGTAGATAGTTAAGCTATGTGAATGCCCCTGTTAGCTGTCCCATAGCACTATGAGAATGGGAAAATAATAACTTGCCTGGGCCTGCAGTAACAGGGTTTAAAAACTGTAATGATTCATTAGCACAGCCATTCTCCATGTCATTACAATAAATAACACTGCAACAGATTTACCAAGGTTACCTTCATGTTAAGCCTCAGAATAAGAACAGCTTATGGAGGGAGACGGACTCAGTCTTTCAGACTTATATGTGAATTGGTGCTTAGCTTTTTGCCTGTTGGTGGTGGGTGAAAAGGTTTACTTTTGTGTTTTTGCAGTGTTGCACTGATGAACCATAGCTGTTGCCCAAATGTGATTGTAACTTACAAGGGGACCTTGGCTGAAGTCAGAGCTGTTAAAGAGATTGAGCCTGGAGAGGAGGTAAATGCACTGTGTTTGAATGTACTCTAGATGCATGCATCCTAAAGGTAGGGTCCATTCTGCGTTTCAGGATTCATTTCAATTAATTTAATCGTGGTGAGGAAGGATCTTGTTTCTCAGAAACGTAAGATGTTGCTATGGAAGGCTGGGGTGGCTCTGGAGGGATTCTCGGAGGCAGTGTCCTCTTTTGTGTTAAAACAAGGGAAGGGCACCTGCAGCAGTCACTGTGTATCTGCCAGCTCTGGCTCCCTTTACCCAGCTGTAAAATGAGGCTGAGTTTACTGATGTTTGGCTGCTGCTTTGAAATTCCAAGATCAAAGCAAATTATTACTGCTGTAATAGCTCCCAGTATAATAGTAACGCATTGGAATTGAAGCCAGTATAAACAAGGTAAACGGGTACAGATAAGTCCTCTGACTTCTGTTTGGACACAGCATCCACAAAACATGGGACTTGGTCGTATCACCTCAGCAGTGTTTGCTGGGAAGTCCCAGGAGCACAGGAGTGTGGTTTTAGGTGAAGCTGAACAGTGGTGGCTGGAATTCTGGGCAATTGAGGAAGGCTCTGGGTTTACCTTGAAACTTTCTCTATCAAATAATGAACTTGTCAGGGCTGCTTTTTTGCTTTAAAAAGAAAAGCAAAAAGATGTTAAATGTACTTGAGGATGTTCAAATATCTGCAGGGGATGAAGACGTGGAATGTTCTCTCTGGGGATGGAATTTGCATAGAGTTTCAATGGCTCATTTGTTAATTTAGGCAAGGTTAATGCTGCTCAAAATAAGTTCAGATTTGATTTTGATAACTCCTACTGCTTCTGAAGTGTGTGATAGTAGTTTTGAAGAGGAGGAGGGAGGTTATTTGTGTGGGTTATAGCTGTTCACCATTGTGAGCAAAAGGAGTTTATATGCTCGAAGGGTGAATGACTGGTGAGCCACTTCTTTTAGGCTATTTACTAACACCATGTTCTGTCTGTGATGTTGGCAGTCACTGCAAATGCGTTGTAATGGACAAGGGCTGATCCTGGTTAGGGAATTTCACTGTGGAATCCCGTATGTTTTTAGTGGTTTAGGGGAGGGCTGACTCTGAGAGGTACTGATGTGGAGTATTGACCATGCTTAGCATATTCTTTTGATTGAGTTGGCTTAAAAGCTGCATGAGGTCTCCAGGACCTCATGGCTTTTTGGGGTTGGCTTTTCGGATACTTAAGGACTTTATAAACGTTGAGGTGGTGATGTTTGCGAGGCTCTGTGCGGTCTTGCAGCCTGTGTCTCCATCTTCAGGTTCAGCGGAGTCATTGCATCGCACCGTTTTTCACGTTTCTGGTGTGAATGCGGTTCCAGCGTTTTGCGTGCTTTGAAAATAGGGGAGGGAGGAGTGTGAGGGAAGGTGTGAGATCCCACAGAAGAAGATGTACTGTATGAAATTACATCTACATCTGACTTTAAAGAAGAAAGAAACCTGAAACGTAAAGACTGAGCAGAATGTTTCAAATAGCTGCAAATAAGGAAATGGAACTAAAGCTGTTCCTCTGTCTGCGCTGTGCATGACATGTTTCTTGGGGGAGATCTCACTTTAAAAATAGAGCATTAAAGCTAGTTGCAGGGGTTCTTTTCTGAAGACCATTGAAGTAGAGGAAAACTTAAGAATAGCATGTATGAAGGGCTTTTAGAACGTTCAAAAGCAGGTTTTCTTTGCTTTAAAATATTGCTGCTGAAGTAAATCTGATATTCATTCTCCTAGAACTGGAGCACTGGGCCTCTCTTCTGAGATCTAAAGGTCTTGTCCTAAGTTTCTAAAGCTCCTAGCGACTGCTGTTGCCCCAATTTTTGCAGGTTTTCAGAAGGAAAAATCTGAGATTCCAGCCTCCAAAAAAACCAGGCCACTGTGATTTATCCTAAGCAGGATACCTGAAATCATTATTTTACTTCTGAAAAGTAGGCATTTCTTTGTAGTCTGACAGGAACCTGAGATTTATGCTCTGGTAGTTTCCTTATCCACACCTGAATCTTGCTGTCCTGGGTTGAAGCCAGGGTAATATTGGAGGGAAATTCCATAATGAATAGGAAAGGAAACACTTCTCTGGGAGACTGCAAGCTGCAAGTGCTGGTGCTGCCCAGAGGCTTGGAATGGGAGGGGAACAGGCAGGTGATGTGGCTGCTGGGATCCACAGGTTGCATGAATACGTAGTTGTCATACAACATATACCAGAAGCGGTACTGATAAATATGTATAGTTATACTGCTTTTCACTGACTGCTGTGTTTTTACCATACAGGTTTTCACCAGCTACATTGATCTCTTGTATCCCACAGAAGACAGAAATAACCGGCTAAGAGACTCCTATTTCTTTGACTGTGATTGCGAGGAGTGTGTTACCAAAGAAAAGGTGAAAACATTGGTGTGAAATGTGCTTCTGACTGGCAAGGCACCTACCCAGGTCCTTAGGTGTAATATTCCATCTTTAATTACGTTTTGGAAAGCAGGATAAAAGGGGATGGGCTGATTTTGTTCTTCTGTCTACAAGATACTCATTCTTCCTACTGTAATCACGACAGGTCAGAAGATTTCTTGTTAGGAGCCAGTTTAAAGTTGAGCTACACAGCAAAGATGAAAACTCTGTTAAAAGTAGATAATTACACTGTGTCTACGCTACCTGACCCAAAGAATTTAGCTCAGAACTGCATGTTTTCTATCAGCTCCCAGTGAGCGATTCTTGTTTGGAGCGTTTCTGAGGTAGAGTCCTGCTGCAGTTCCTGGTTGGGACATCTCCGTCAGTTCTAGGTGACATAGCATGACATTGCTGGATAGTTTGGAGACCCAAAAGAATCCTGTAGTTGCATTAAAACACTCTTCTCGTGGACAGGGTGGCCCCTTGTGACATGCAGGCTAGATTTATGTTCATTAGACATCACCTGGTGCCTTGAAAAGACAAAGGCAGACATTTCAAACAATGTTCCTTAAAGCAACACATTAGTTATTTTGAAGAAAAGCACTTATGGGGGACAAAGTAAGGTACCCAAATCCAGCAGATATGGAAACAAGTGTGCCTGTGCAGCCATTTTGACCTCCTTCACTGGGGACCTGAGGAGAACTAAGCTTTGTAGGGCTTATCTGTTGTTCCAGCCAGGATCAGTCTGGTTGGCATCATCTGATCCTTAAATTCCAGATATTTCTCTCCCCATTTTCACAAAGGTGTCCTTTTAAGAGCTGCTTCCCAAACAGACCCACAACCCTCTCCTTCCTCTAAATGAAAGCATCTTCTGTAACTTTCTGCAAACAGTACACAATATCCTTGTTTGAGGCTGTTCTGTTGATACCAGAGTTGTGTTTCTCTCCACAGTTACTTTGCTAATTTTGCCACTGAGTTTAATGAAGCCAGGATTTCAGCTGTGATTTCCAATGGTGTGTTACTCTCACTCGGCATCCTTCAGCTCCAGAAAGAGTCCCTTATAGCCCTCTCAGCTGGAAGATGAAATAATAAAGGAAAAAGACATCTAGCAACAGTGTGAGGTTGTCTCCAGATTGCAGTTTACTCTTCATGGAGTATAGTAAGTTAGATAGATAGAAAGATAAGAGTAAAATATGTGCAGATCTGTGTTTAATATCATCTCATTTTCAAATGAGCTGTCACTTGGTGCTAGGCCCAAGGTACTTGGGCTTTTCGAGCCTTAAAACTAAATTAGTTGTAATCCCTAATCTCTTGTAAGCAGTGAAATTTCCAATGGAACACTGTTTTCATCACAAAATTGAAAAGCTCTTGGATCTTTCAAAAGAAAGGGACTTCATGGAAGTAGTGGATGGCAGATGAACTGGAAGGCACAGAGAATTCTAGGTTTCCTAGTCAAGGCTTTAGAGAAAGAATTGCAGGTGCACATTCTACCTTTGTTTTTAAGTTCTTTGAAGAGATTAAGTCCCCATCTGTGTCTTTTTATTAGAGTAATTTTGTGTAGCAGGTGCACCTTTATTTGTATGGCTTGGAACCTGTTTATAATGTCTATTGTGTTTCCTTCAGGATAAAGATAAACTGGAAATCTGCAAGCTGAATGATCCTCCATCAGCAGAGACAGTGCGGGACATGATCAAGTATGCCAGGAATGTGATTGAGGAATTCAGAAGAGCCAAACACTACAAATATATCCTTTGTCTCACCTTGACTTATGTGGCTTGGTGTGGGACCTAAAAAGCTTACCTGCTGGATTGCTCCTGAGGTACCTGCAGGAGAAATGCTGTAACCATTAGAAACCAAACTTACCTCTGTCCTCCTTGTGTCTGAAAGGCTGTCCTGGTGGTGTGGGATTGTGAGACCCTGTGTTTGTTCCTCCTTGTGTGGCTCTCAGTTTCTAAGAGTGCAGCATGTGGCTGTCTCCACACAGCAAGCCAGAGGCTGGAGTGAGGTGTGTGCTGTGTTACTCTACTGTCATAGTGCCCTGTTCTGAGAGAGCAAGCACGTGAGGCTGCAGCTATTGCTGGGCATCACAAGCCTAGCTGTTTTAACAGTGCTGTGACAGACAGACAGAAATGCAAGATTCACTGGGCCAGAAGCAGAGCAGGCTGTGTCATGCCTGATTCAGTACCTGCTGCATGGGGAATTTCACTCCCCCTTCTTCTGGCATATTGTCGGAGCAGTGGTGATCCAGGAAAGCTGCTTTTTGTTGTTGCTTTTTAAATCTGAAAGCTAGTTTTGTACAATATCTGAGTAGGAGGGGAACAAACTCGTGAGCAGAATACCTCTGAGTACAGAATACCCCTCAGAGTAGCTCTGGGGTTTTATCATGGATGCTTTGATGCCATTTAAAAGGAAAGATGACTTCTGAGAACCATTGTGAACAAGGTCAAGTCTGTGCTTCTTTGGTGTTACCAGGTAGTCATCTAATGAGAGGCCACCTATTTATTGGGTTCCTTGACTTCGTACCTCCTAGTGAATTACTGGAGATCTGTGAACTCAGCCTGGACAAGATGGGTGCAGTGTTTGAAAACAGTAATGTTTATATGTTACACATGATGTACCAGGCCATGGGTGTGTGTCTCTACGTGCAGGACTGGGAAGGCGCACTGCGTTATGGGCAAAAAATTATCAGGCCATACAGGTAAATATGAGACTTTTTATTTTCTTTAGTATTCTAATTCAGTAATCTGAATAATTAAGAAAAATTTGGATAGACATCACTTCTTTCAGTACCTGTTGGATAAACATACTGCTCATGACATCACTGCTTGAAAAGGAATGTGTAATGCTGGGGTAGATGTTTCTGTCAAAAAGTGATCTGCAAGATGTAGCAGAATGTGACTGAGAGCCTTGCTTTGGGTTCTCAAAATAAATCTGTACCACCTTGGGGACTGTGCTAGTTCTGCTCGGCTAGATTGTGGGGTTTTTAATATCCTAATACTTTACTAAAGCAGAGTTTTGGTTTGCATCATGTGATGGAGGCAAAGCTGTTGATGTGACTCCAGTTCTTTCCCTTTTCCAGTATCCCAGGGCTGGGGTTGAGCAGCAGAGGGAGGCCTTGGGTGCGCTGAGGTCCCTGAGCTCCACTGCCCTGGAGCTGGAGGTGTGGGAGATGCACAGGCTAGAGGCCCATGTGGGGTGAGGCAGCACGCAGCCTCTGCAGGGAGAAACCCATCCCCTCTCCAACCGGTCCTCCTGTGTTCTTAACAGTAGTGATCTCCTTCATCGGAGCCAGCCAGTTACATGCTGTATCTGATCCTGCCATAAATCTCCCAAGCAGATTCTCATCTTGAGACATCATTTTCTTGCCAGCTGGGGGGAGTGCAAGTGAAGCTCTCACTTTGGGGCAGATGCCAACGTAAAGTCACAGATCACTTGGCAGAGAGCAGCGATACAAAGAAGCAGCCAACATTCCCCCCTCCTGGGGGTGCAGTACTATTTATCTTCCCTGGGACTTGCCCAGCTCCTCTGGCTCAGAGCCTGGCATTCCAGGTCAGCTCTGCTGAGCTGGACTCTGCTTGCTCAGTGTGAGTACAGGGTGGCGTGTGTGCTGTAGCGCTGCTGAGGGCCCCTCGCCTTCCTTTAAAGACCAGCTCTTTTGTGGAATAGGCAGAGTTACTTCTGTGGCTCCAAAACCTCCAAACAATGCAGCCTCTTTCTGTAGCTGGCTAGATTAAAACTAGTGGCAGAAAGTCATTGCCATCTGACAGCTGTTCAGAGGCATATGGCAGTTTCAGTTTGATTCCCAGTGGACAAGCGTCTCTATCCCAGGCACAACTGGCGCTGGCTCTTGGCAGTCACAGCAGGGGGATGAGCAGAGAATGGGCAGGGGCAATGAGAGGCAGCTTCTTGCCCCCTGAGAGGGATACAGGGGCTGGGGAAATGGAATAAAACTGCCAGGTTTGATCAAGCTGAACCCCTTTCTCTCTTGCAGTAAACATTATCCCCCCTACTCACTGAATGTTGCTTCCATGTGGCTGAAACTGGGGAGACTCTACATGGCACTGGAGAACAGAGCAGCTGGAGTTAAAGCCCTGAAGAAGGTATTTCTTTCCAGGTTTCTTCATTAATAGTACCAGTTCAGGCATGGGGTCACTGAAAACACCACATGCTGCTCTGTCAGCAGGCCTGGCTTGGTAGGAAATGCACAATGTGTTAATAATGCATTTGGTTACTGGGTTTTGGGCTCAGTTTTCCTTTTGGAAAGATGCAGTATCGGTCTGTTGTCGCATGCAAGGGATCTTGCCTTGTCATGATAGACTTCAGTAGCTGGAGTAGTGTGCTTAAGGTCATATGGAGTTACATATATGCTTAAACATTTGCTATATGTTCTTCCCTGAGCTAGAGCTGTGCTCCTGTAAATGGAGAACTCCAGTTTCTCACTTGCTAGGTAAGGACAGAGAAAATGCTTGGCTCTTAGAAAAGGCACATAGTGTTTGCCTGAAGCCTGTGGTTTCTCTATCCAGTTAAACTATACCCTAGCTAAACAAGGCATGCTTTTGGTGGTTATTTGTTCTGGAACAAATCGATTTTTAAATAGCTGAAGGGAATTCAATGCATCTGGTAATGCTGAAGTTGGCATATATGGAGTTTGGGCTTATGTTTTTCTTCATCCCTTTTTATTAGTCTATTCCCTTATTCTTTAGGTTTTTCTTCTTTGTTTATTAGGCTGTACCATGTTTCTTGACTCCCTTCCCCTGTTGTTGTTGGACAGAAGTTTATTGTCATTTCTTAGGCCTCAGTGACTACTGTAGCATATAATGACTTGGTGTGGAATGGCACCATAGTTGGTTTTTTCATTCCTTTTTAGATGCTGGCAAGTTTTTAGCCAGCAATAACAGAGCCATGCAGCCATGGTGAAAGATGCTACACAAATATATACTCTAAAACTTAACTGTTACCTGGTTTAAATTTTCCATAGGTTTTCCTTTGCTGTGGTGTTAAAGCTTTGACTAAAACTGGGAGTTGTGCCAATAGGAACACGGGCTGGGGGCTGGGAATTGTAGGTAGGTTTGTTGGCATAGTTCGCTTCCTAACACAAATGTTTTCTAATGACTCACTTCCAAAAGCTGCCTACGGGAACTGCCCAAAGTTATCCCAGCCCCTGCTGTTTGGGATTTAGTGAAAAAACAAACCTATTGTTCTCTCTCTGTTTGCAATCAGCTCCTCCAGAAGGCCCTCCTCCTTTCTTCTGTTGGGCAGGAGCAGCAGTGGGGTCAGTTCTCACTGCTCCTGAGGTGGAACCAGAGGCTCTTACTGCAGTGATTTAAATATAAGAGCAAAATTCCACCATTCCTTACTTGATCTTAGCATGGTGGGCTTTAAATGTTCTCAGACTTACCCTGAACTTGCTGCTGCCTTTTATTACACCTCTCTGGGACCACTGATACCATTTTCTTAAGTGGGTGTCTTGCCTCTGCACCCACTCCACAGTGCATGTCAGTGGGTTTGGCTGCCTGAAATGTTGGCTTTTGGAAGCAGAGCAAGGATTGGGCACAGCTGCCTCTGGCCAAAGCTGGCAAGACCGTGCTTTTGCCTCAGTGGTTGTCTGAGCCATTGCTTCCTTTGGGAACCTCTGGAACTGATGGAGGGTTCACAAAAACAAGTCTGGAATGCCCTAATGCAACTTCTGCAGTGGGCCTGATCTGACAGCGGAAGGATTAACTGGTAGGAACAAAGCTGGGGCTGATAGTGCTTAAGTCAAGTCCTTTGCCAGAGCATCACCCACCCCACTCAGTTTTCTGTCCTAGAGCTGCTTGCATTCAAGGTAGTTTTGTCAGGAATACCATTTTGAAAGGTGCTTTGGGACCCTGTGAGATGAAAGATGCGTTCTCTGAATGTAAAACCTTTATTACTTAGTTTTGAATTCCATTTTATTTCCTACTGCGTTTATGACTACAAGGGGACAAAAAGTAGCCAGAGGTGTCAGACTGTTTCAAACCTCTAAAGTGAATATTTATAGCCTGGTGTTATATAGGAATCAATTGTGTGAATAGTTTTTTCTTTTCATAGGCAATTGCTATCATGGAAGTAGCACACGGGAAGGATCATCCATACATTTCAGAGATCAAAAAGGAATTAGAGGACCACTGAGCCTTTGAATCTATGCAATCCTTCAAACCTTTAGTTAAAAGCCTTGTTACGGAAGCCTTCAGGAGCGCTTTGAAATGCGGTAGGGTATGAACACAGCTCTGGCCTATAATTGGAATGACAAACACACTTATGCCTGGCAGAATGTTCCCAGCTTCCACACATCTACAATTGCCTTTTTTTCCCTGTTTTGTTTTGGTTTTTAAAGATGCATCCATAGTTTCTTAAAGGTGATGCCTTTTGACAGCTCGTGTGCAAAAGTGGCCATTTTTGTCTCTGGATTTTAATGTGTACCTTATTTAAGTAAATAAAGTCACCTTGACCCTTCTTGGGTGCAATGGTTTTGTGACATCCACTTTTGCCTAAGCCGTTTCATTGAATCTAACTAAATAAGTAGCAAAAGCTGTACTTTTTCAGTTGTGGTTTAGCATCCAGGTCCTCTTCTCGCTAATCATTTTTGTTTGCAGTGCCAGTCCCAGGGGATTCATCACTGAAAGGCCCCCGAGCTCAGCATGTCCTGTACAGGGAATGCTGGTGCCTATGGCAGAGCTGGAAGGCTTGCACAAGGCAGGAGTGATGCAACTTCTGGCTTTTTAACCCTCTTTGCAAGTAAAAATGAATTCAGTGCAGAGGAGAGCTCATATTTCCTTATAGCCATACCTTTGTCTCTCTATTCATACATTAGAAATTACTTTTAAGAGAGGAACAAGAACATATTCTGAAGAAAAAATCCAGGACTTAAGTATGGACAAAGAAAGCTAAGCCTGGAGGGTGGTTTTTTTTTCCCTTCATAAAATAGAATCACAGAATGGTTTGGGTTGGAAAGGACTGGAATCATCCAGTTCCAACTCCCTGCCATAGGCAGGGATGCCTTGCCCTAGAGCATGTGGCCCAAGGCTCCATCCAGCCTGGCCTTGAATACTGCCAGGGTTGAATGGTGGGAGATTGCATTTAAGGCTGGGGGAGGGAAGAGGAAGCAGGAGTGTGGCTGTGTACTCCCAGCACCAAAGCTGAAATATGTTGCACAGTAAAACTACACGACCATTCTGTATGGCTTTCTCATGAAGTATGATGAGAGAAAGAGCACACCTCATCATCAAGAACTCCATCATATTTCCTTTCTTGTAAGTACTGCTCTGAAAACAAAACTGCTAGAGAACAAGCTTTCATTTTGCTGAAAGCTTTCATTGCTCCCTTGCCAGCAGTTGTTGCTGGAGTGCATAAAACTGCACCAGATCTTATGATTCCAGGAAGCCAAGGAAGAGGGCACCAGCTATTTTTATCCTAACCTTATCTTGTCAAGTAAACCCTCATTCCAGGGAAGCGGCACCTTCACTTCAGCAAGCCTCTCCAGAGCCCAGACCATACCTCAACGCTGAAGAATCAGCTTAGCCAAGCAGGATCACCAGCAGGAGCCTTGCCCTTGCAGAAGGCTCTTGAAACTCACTGCAGCCCTGGCTGTGCCTGTCAGTTTACCATGGGAAGCTAACACAAGCACGGTAGGTGCAACTACAAACCCAGAAGCTGTTACAGAAGAGAACACAGAGCACAAGCAAGGTTTTCCTTGAAAAAAACCCCAGTTTATTGTATACTGTGAATATGAAGGACAGCCTTACCAAAAAACCTTAGTGACTGGAGACATTCTCGTATTTGCCAAAGTATATCATAAACTATTTACACAAAGGCAGTTAAAAGGGTAAAAAATTACTGCAGTCAATTAATGCTGAGTAGAACTTTATAAAAAGAGAAGGAAGAGAAACAGTGCAAAAATACTGTCAAAAGTAATCAGTTCTATACACAAGATAAAACTGACAAGCATAAGCTTATGGACTGATATGAATAATACATTAGAATATAAAATAGCATGCATAGATTTTTTTTCTTTAAAGGCTTTCAATAGCATAGAATAGTTCTGCCATTCAGTCCTGACAGGAGGCGGTGGGGGGGAGGCAGGAAGGGCACATAACTGCTGTCTCATGTCTCTACAGAAGGTGTACATACAACATGGTGGTGAGATTGAGCTCACTGCTCTGTGCTGAACTGTCACGGACACAGCTACAGAACAAATAAATGAGGAAGCATTGAAATACTGAAGTAAAACAGGGCAGTAAAATCCAGTGACATAAAACTTAAACATGTCCCACACAATTATATATGGGAATATTACAGTCATCTGCATGTGTAAACTTTTCTCCTGTGTAAAATTGCCCAAGAAAGGTACTTCACTAGTAAGGAAAATGTGGTTTCCATATGGCACAGTTGCAACGGGATAAACATCCTGTTAACAGTGTTCTGGCAGTAAAGATTTGTTTTCTGTCAAAGACCAACTAACAGCAAGAAAATAACTTTAACGTGCACAAAAAGAAAGTTCTTAGACACTTAATGCATGATTAAGTTATGGAACTCACCAACGCAGGACATCATGAAGGTCAGAGGAGGAAATGGGTTCTAGAGAAGAGGTTTCATGGGAGATGGTTCCATCAGCAGTTATTAAACACAGTAAGCAGGATTCAACTCTGGCCTCAGGAAGGCCCTGCAGGACTGGGTGCCAGGTCTGCTGCAGGGGTTGAGCACCCTCTTCTAGACATATTTCCTCTTTAAGTGTCAGCTACCAGCCACTGTCCAAGAAAGCAAGGAAGCCTCCATGTCCTACTCCTGCCTATCTCATCAGGGAACAGTGCCCCTGGAATACCTGGAGCAGTGCCTTACCCAGGTGATTTGGCTGAGTACAACTATCAAGCATTGCACGTTTCAGGGATCAGCAGAAGTATTAGCCTTGCCCTCACTGTTCAAGAGCAGCTTTCACTGAAGAAACCCAGCACTACTTCACCACTGACTTCCAGTTCACCCTCCAATGGCAAAGCCCTGCTGTTGTAGCATGTGGGAAACGCGCAGTGAGGATGCACATAAAGGACAGGCAATGGAACCACAAAGGAACACACTGGCCAAAAATGGCCAAGAGAAATGAAACTGCAGTCTGAGATACACTAAAAACACTGACAAGATTTAAGCACTGCTACTTTTGAGCTGCGCACTCCATGTTTCACAATCTAACAGCCCCAGCAGCCAGCTCTTCCCTTCCCCAAATCACAGTCCCTGCAAGCCAAGCCACACAGCTGCCTGTGCAGTCTCCTCCTCTTCCCAAACCTCACATGGCAGCTGTACATCACACAGCACCAGATTCCACAAGAAAGCTTTTCTAGAAGGCTAAGAACGAGCTGAGGACAATTGCCTTTGGCGTTTTAGACTTAAACCTTGTATCACTCAGACTGTACATCAGCAAATTGACACCGCTGTAGAGGGGTGTGAGGTGCTGCTTTCATGCAGTGCTTCCCCTTCAGGCTCAGTTCTGGTATTTGCTCCTTCAATGCAATGCATCCTGTATTGGATGCAGTGGGTGCCACCCCACCACTCTGGCTGTAAAGTGTTCTTTCCCACAAAGACAAGCAGCAAAATTTAACCCTCACCTCTCTCAGCGATGCCCAGGAGCTGGCACAGTAGGTGTCACCCACACTGATGCTTCCACTTTCTGAGCACATGCATCACAAACTGTAAGTAAGACTGACAACAGCCAATGCAATCATGATCTCCTCCCAAGGGACCAGGGGGAAGTCAGGTGCTGAGAATGCAGCACGGTCAGTGGCTACTGCATTTTCCCTGTGGATTTGTGTGCTATATCCATGTATGAGATTGCCCATCAGCATTTACTTTAGCGTGGCTTCTGGGCTACAGAGGCAGCAGATACTGGATCAGAACAATAATGTATTAGTTTGGAATGACCATCTCTCTTGAAGCCCCAATACTTACTCACTCTTTAACAAGTGATGATTTGCCATTTGCATTTCTGTCTGCTTACAAGAAAGTAATTAAAAATAAAGCTATTGAAATCATGCAAATATTATTTATTAATATTTGGAGTGAGGCAACTTTTAAATAAGTGGAACAGAAATGTCCTTCAGTATACTTTTGTAAGGGACTGCATTAGCAATAGGTTGAATAAAGCCTCACAGATGCCTCCTGCCAGCTGAAACTAGTTCAGGGAAAAGGTATTTCCAACAAGGCTGAGCATTGAGGGTCCTTATCATCTGTATAGAAGGCAGCTTGTGGGAACAAGCTTCATCCTCCCTCAGTTAATCCAGGACCTCATGTGCCAAAGCAGGTCCATGGAGGAACTGGAACAAGTGGGACCTGCGCAGCTCATGTCCACCAGCCTCACAGCTCGGCTGTCATCTCTCCCCATCCCTGATCAGACAATGTCAGGCATGAAATGCTCAGACCAAAATTAACCTCAATACTATCACTGGTGAGAACTTACTTAAAGAAAAGGTGGGTTAAGTACAGGTGAAGAGTGCACAAAAAGGAAACACACACAATGGATTCCCAAGTCAGACTTACTCATGCAAGACTTACTCAGGGAGCACAAGCTGAACATGAACATGGGTGCCTTGGGAGAAGACCACTTAGTGTCAGACTTCTTAAGGAGTGGCTCCATTCATTGACAGTGGATGCATCTTTGTGGGATTTTCAATCCAGACTTTCCTCCAAGCGGATGAAACTGGTCACTGGTCTCTTGGAACCTGTCATGCTTTGATGTTAAACCCATGCAACACAACATACAGCAACTCCAGACTGTCCTTTTCTACTTATGGACTCCACTGTTTTAAGTCTGTGGGGCAGAGAAACTAAACCGTACTGTTGCTTTAAGTCTCATGCGTTCATTCCTGCTATGACTAATAAAATTGGATGCAAAATGCATTTTCCTGTCACTCCCTAAAGGTTAGGAAATACTGCCCAAGCAATTTCGATGTGATAAAACTACAACAGGTTCAAAGTCAGCAGGTTCAGTTTTTCCCCTACAAAAATGTATCCCATTTCAATCATAAAGCATCGGCACGCTGAGGTTTGGTTGCAAGCTGGGGTGGAAAGGAGCCTCTGAAGACATGCACCAGCCCTATTCATTTATGGTATTAGCAGATCTAGTCAAGATAAAATCTAGCTGGAAAAAATACACTGAAGTCAGATGAAAGGAAAAGGTTAAAATTACCATTCTTTTGACAATGAAAAGGAAAAAGTGAGTCACACTGGCCTCTATCTACCATAGCAGGCACAGCAGGAGGCGAGTGGAAATGACTGTTTACACCATGGCCACTCACCTGGCTCATTAATAGGCACTGATTTAATATGGAAAGGATTTTTGGTGCCATTTTGTAATTAATATTTTTCCTAAGACACCTATGATGCATCTTTGCATAAAAACCATTTGCTTAATCTTCTTCCTTTCAATCACAGCTCTGCATTCTCTTATGCAATAATTGCGCTCACTGTAGAAACAGAAGTGGATGTTTCAGCCAAGAGCAGCTGAATAATAAGACATAGAGACGGTTTCTTTTCCCTCCCTTCTCACTCCCAGGTGGAGCAATGGGACTTGACAGCCCTGAGTTCAAACTTAATTCATCATTAGGAAATTATTCAGAAAGTTCTAACGAGATAACTAATGCGCTTTGCTTCAAGGTTTATTCCTTGGCCTGTTTCCCAGATAGAAAGCATCTCTGTGTAATTATCATGCAGATGCTGCTGCAAAGACTTTAAATGGTTGCTGCTAATTTAACAAGATCTATGTTGGCATTGGCAGAAGGAATCAGAGGAAAACTGAAGTTGACTGAAAACTCAACTAAGCCCTAAAAGGAATATGGTCAAGATATTACAGCTGAATAACTCCTCACCATTTGCTGGTAGCTGCAAGCCTCCACCAATCCTCATCACCTCATTAGACCTCTGTGGCAGAGTAGCAAATCAACACAGCACAGGTTTAAATACAGTTAAGACACATTCTGGTATTGAGCCTTAACTTAAACTCCCACTGATTTTAGGCAGGGGCCAGTGTGTGGGCCCCTTTAGTGCTGAAGTTGTCAGCTTAGGCCTTCAGACACTGACCAGAGGTTTGGAGGAGGGAATGCAATGGAAAAGCAATAATAGGACTAGAAGATTTCATTTAATCTGGGAAAGGGATACCAAGAAAGGTAATTTCACCATGAAAGAGTAACTGCATCATGTGCCCTGAGAGGCTGCAACATCACCACCCTTGCAGACCTCTGAAGCTGGATGTGATCCTGGGTAAGCCCCTCCCATTTAGTTAGCTGTGGTGTGAGCAGGGCAGAGATGGAGCAGAGACCCTGAAGGCTCCTCTCCAGCCTGATCCATCCATCAGGACTGCCAGGTTGAAGCAGGGCTGGAATGCCCACAGGAAACAGGAGTTAGTGTGGGAAGGGAAGCAACCTCAGTGCAGGAGCTTTCCATCTCTTACACCAGAAATAACAGTGTAGGAGACCCACCACGATCTGCTAAAGCTTTGGTTGGTTGGTTTGGTTTTAATTCTATTTTATCCCTTTTAATATCTTTTCAAAGTGCAGTTACTGTCACTTCTAGGTAATTGTACATAAAAGCCACGCACACACTGCAAGGCAATTCATAACGTGCTATACTCCTGTGAAATGAACAGTTTGGAGAAAGGCATATGCACCAAGTCATACTAAGTAGCTAGCCAGTGCTGAGAGACAGAGGAAGAGAGTTCTAACTGCTGAGATACTCCTAAAGAGGGTTCTTAGATTTCACTGTTGGCCTAGGGCGAGCCAGTTAAGGATCTGTGCCCTCGTTACGCAGTGGATGAGGTTTGTTTCCCTTTGCTTTTCTGGTTGTAAACTTCAGGCAAGGACCACATCTCCTTTATATGATACATAAATACATATCATGCTCTGAATCCTCACTGGAATCCCTGAACACTACCCAGATAAAATAGTAATAAATAGGAGGGAGAATCCAAAGTGACCCGGACAGAGAAGAGAGATGATCTGTGCAATTCAATACAGTAAATACCCTAACAAAGTGAGGTTGGCCAATACCAAAAGACAGACTGGTCCCTGTGCTCAGAAACCACAAGAGAGTGATGGGGGAAGACTCCAGGCAGATTCTGAGCTACAGTTCTCAAGGGTCACTGTTTGGAGATCGCAGATGTGGAGGAAAGACCATAATGATGATTCAAAGTTCAAATGACTAGAAAGTAAAATGATGACAATGATGAAGACAGGAGCTTACACATAAAAAGCAACTGGAGATGCTTAAGTTAAATTGAGATTCCTTTTCTACAGGAGGTGAGCCTCAAGGCAATAAAACTTTCAGTGTGTTCCATAAGAAGGTGCTCGGTTTGAGGGGTTTTTTCAGCAGCACTGAGTTGGAATTCCTTCTGCTGTTTAACCCACAGCCCACCACAGTTACCAGAAAGACCCATTCACTGACCTCAGCCTGCTCCAGGTCACTGCCCTTCACCCTGCACTGCTTCAGCTCTTCTGAACCCCTTCAAGGACTGCAGACAGTAGCAAAGGCCTCATTTAGAAGTTCCAATATTGCTTTTTTTTCAAGGCCTAATCTAAAACCTTAATTCCTGTGGAATTTGAACAGTTTAGCACCCAAACGCTCTGCCCTCACAATGTCCTGTGTTTGAGCCCTCTGTAACATGCCCTGCTGTGTGTGCAGAGGCTCAGGGCTCCATGCTCCAGGACTGCGTTCCCACAGCTTCCACTCAAACAGAACTGTAGCTGTAGCAGGTCTTGTTCTTACCGTGGACACCACATATCTGGGTCCATAATGTTCTTACATGAGAAAAAGCCCACCTCCAAATAACTGTTCATTTCAGAAGCTGTGCAGCAAAATAAAAGCCAGCAAACTACCTTTACAAAGGATTGCTTTCCTTAGGGACATGTTACAATGCAGACCAGTTATGCGAATGTGGTTCAGTTTGAAGGTCACTGTAAGTTTTACAAGTTATTAAAGTAATTCACAAGTTATTCCAAGAAAAATAAATTATATCTTGTATAAAATAATCCATGGGAGACGCTAGTAAAGGACAAGCATTCCTTACTTTTCAAGACAACCTTAAGAAGTGCAATACATGCACACAGCGTTGTCAAGGCAGTTCCTCTTGTTCGTCAGTAAGGTTCAGTCAGATCCACAAAGCTGGGTCTGGGATGTTTGGAAAGGTTAAATAAGTCTGGAGTTCTGCAGGAACTGGATGAGCACTTGGTAGACAAACTTGTACTGGGCTATGGTCTGGATCATGAACATCCTCTGCTCCCGCAGGTGCCTCAGCATCATGGGAACATCCACCTTCTGCAAAGCAAAGGAGAGAAAAAGGCATAAGGACTTAGGTTCATTAAATCAGTCATTGTCTTCAGTATCAGCTACCTGACAGGGAACTGCACTGTGTTTATATAATGTAATGAATTATAACAAACTACAACTTTGTTACCAGGTTCCCTGTCAAGGAGTATATATAGAGCATCTAATGCTTTCCCCACTAAAGCTTACAGAAACATCTGGACTGATGTAAATGGGCAGATGACCAAAGACTTGCCTTCCAGCTGTGGACCACTGATTACCTATCAGCAGATCATCAATTCAACACCTAATAAAGGGCTGCTGCTCTATGAAATTTTTTTCTGCTTCAGCTTATCTATTGTCAACTCGAGAAAATAACTCAATATATTGTATTATCTAAGGTTAAAGGCTAGATGTATCAGGAAGGTCTAGTCTAGAACTTAAAGATTAAATAGCTCAGTTCAGACTCTACCAAGGGCATCCACAGGCCCCATGGCCACTGGCATCCTGTGCTCTCACCCATGGTGAAACTTACTCATAGAGAGAGGATCTGACAGTTTTGCAAATGGGAAGCAGGCATCAGAATCATATAATAAAGGTTCCCTGTGCAGGCAAATACACTGATCCTTCCACTAAAAGACAAGGAGACTCACTGTCACCAGAAGGTCCAGAAACTGACACCTCCCACAGCCAAGTCTGTGCCAGTACATAGAAGAAAGCAATCTGTCAAGTGAAACCCAGTATCTACAATATACGTCCTGCAGACTCCAGGCCAGTGCCAGTCTGAACATCTACTGAACATCCACTAGCAGCTGGACACATTAAGGTGTTCTCCATGAAGGTCTCTTCCAGCTCAGTTTCATCCAAAGGAAGTTCACTCACATGCCCTGAAAATGCTCTGCAACAGGAACTAAATCACAGTTAAGTGGGGACGGATCAGGAGATCCATGGTAAAGGGACATCTCTAACCCCACTGAGCACCCTGGGGCACCAGCACCCTGTAGCAGTCTGAATTAATGACCCAACGAGTTGTCTGAAACAGAGGCCCATGAGGTAAAGCGCTAGAAAACACTGCAGATTTCATTAGGTGTTACCATCATATTGCCAGCATTTTGGGAGCAAAACTCCTTATGATGCTGTTCTTTATCTTACAACAGGTACATGAGGAGCTGTTCTGAAGTCACGGAGCCATGAAGCTGAGCCTCCCAGGCTCAGATTCAAAGAGCGTGGAGGATGACCCACCATAAGGGATGTGGATTTTCTATGGCAGCAGTAAATGCAAGCACTAAGATACACACCATTTTTGAGGAAATTCTTTAGCAGTTGAAGATATAAAACTGAAGGCCAGTTACTCTACCAGGTAACACAAAGTGCACTTTGTAATGCCAGTTTGCCATTCCAGAAACACAGAAAGGAACTTAGCAAGTCTTTTGATTTGGCTGAGATAAGAAATGTTAGAAGCACAATACCTGGACAAAGACAGAAACAAAGATTGCTGCTAATCCTTGGAGGTGCAATGAGCATGGGAGCTGCTTCCATGCATGCTTCAAGTTTTCTGGCAAGATAAGGCATACCCATTTCTGTCTATATATATAAAACTCAATCTGCTTTCCACATAAACGAGCCTTAACTCAGAGGCTATCACTTTCTGAAAAGAAGGCTAAATACTCTGCCTCATATCCCAACAAGCTGCTATAAAAGAGCATCTCTAGAGAGTCAACAAGCATAAAGATCCGTGATGAGTAACATCATGTTAGTTTCAAACAGGAGCAAAGCAAGACAAGCTCTTTCCAGCTCACTCAGAGAAAGCCTCCCTGTGGTCTCAGATGCTTATGGAAGCCACACAGTCCTTGCACAGCAGAGTCATATGGAACCTGATCTCACCTGAGCCGCTGCAACAGAACCGCAGGCCAGCTTCAACCTGCGTTATCACTTTCCTCTCTCAGCAGCTTGGTTGTCAGCACACAGCTATCCCTGCACCTCCCCAGAATGGTGTGGCTTTGGCTTATCTTAGAACTTAAACTCCATCCTGCCTATTCAACCTCTGTTTGTAGGCAGCTTTACTGCATCTTCACACTCACCTTCATCACAACGTACACGTCAAAAAGAGGTGGCATTTGAAAAAAGAACAAGCAAAAACGCTACTCATTTCTGACTCCCAAACTAAGGGATCTCCCCTGTGAAAATCCACTGCAGCTGCAATCATGAGTTAATGTCCCAGTGCCAGGTCCAAACCAGAACTGGGTAGAGCAGGATCTCAATTACTTTCTTGTTCGACATGTCTACCGCAGTAAGGATGTAATGATGTTACTGAAACTGTATCCCTGCAGCAGATACACAGCTTTAGACTCAACCAGCAATGGCACGGAAGCCACAGTGACTGAAGGTGTATAGAATTTGATGAAACATGGCTTTTTACCTAAACCTGAAACCTCTGACTCAGAGGTCCAGCAGTGCTGCAGACTTTCCAAGACGGTCTGTATCAAGATTTCCAACCTCCCTCTCCTTCCTTCCTTCACCACTAATACGTTAACATTAGCACATCTGCTTTCTAGGCCATTTCTGAGGAAATCAGCCAATTCATAAGACTAAAGCATCTGAAGTAGGAAGTCATTCTATTTGAGAAAAACCCAATTCATTCTACTTCAGAATAAACTGCTGCCTGGAAAGGAACCCTCTCTGTGCACAGTGCAGTACCTGTCACAAGCTGAAAACATACTGTTAATCTATTCTTTTAATTAGGTCTTAATAAGCAAATATATTAACTTAGCACAATCTGGAGCAAAAAAGCCCTTAAGGAAAATCATCCTTAATATTAATGATGATTTTCACTATTAATCAAGACAAAGGAATGCTTTAATTAAGGGACATCAGAGAAATCCCTTATTGAGCACTACCACCAGTTCCTAGTGAAGTTGATGAGAATCCTGAATGTCAAGGCTCACCTCCATGCTCAGATGCTGCAGCACTGCCTGTATCTTCACTTACTGCTCAACTACTCTTTGCCAAATAGGTGACTACCATAAACCACAGACAAACTGAGGTGCCCAGAAGATGTTACACAACTGCTGGGGTTTGCTCCTGGGCATGCAATCAGGTTACTGTAAGGCAGATGCAGCTACACTGGTGCTCACAAGTGATTCAGGTATGGCTCTTGCAGCTATCCAGACTTCCTCTGGCATGCAGAAATGGCATGGCTGCTATGTGAATAACACAAGCAGTCACTTCCGGGTGCCAGTGCATAAGAAGTCAAGCATGCTCAAGAGTCAGAGCTGTTGTCCCATATGGGAGCAGCTCCTTGAGCAGCAGCCAGCACAGGAAGGGTGCAGGATTCCCAAAACACATACCTGTGGGCCCCTTCTGTCAAGGGTCAGCTCCTCCTTCCCCCCCAAATAAGAAGTTGAGGAAAACAAGTGTAAATTGCATCACAGATCTACAGGACAGCTTCATCTCTAGTGAGGCCCAAGCAGAGCTGCAGGAGGTTCACAGCTGACCTGAGCACAGGATCTCTATAAGATGTTGTAACTACAGAAGGATGAGCTGCTGGAGGTGGGGGGATAACACAGTAGAAAGCAAAAAGTAATGTCTTGCATCAACTTTTTCCATGCACAGGAAGGCTCAAACCTGTAACTCCTCTGTGGTAACACTGAGAGCAAGCAAGCATTTCAGGTGCATGTATCCAGTCTTCCCTGAATTTCAAGCAGCTCCTCCAGTGGATGATTAATGGGAGGGGCAGGCAATATGTGTCTGTCTGTTACTCTTGCTGCATTGTTATCTCTACAAGAGGCTCTGGTCTTTGGGCAGTTTCTTTGGCAATAGAAATCCCCAGTTTCAATAGCTGTCACATTGAAAATGCTGGGCACATTGTTATTCAAGGTGTGATGCTCTTCCTGGACAGTTCCCCAATGACACATGACACTGATGTAAAGCAAGTTGCTACACGTGGCTACTCTGCTGGTGCTCTTACATCCAGACTGCATTACTAGTCTTGTAATATCGACTGCAGTGCCTAAAACCCTATTCCCCAATGTACACACTTGTTCCTTAAAACACAGTTAAGTTTCGTTCCAGATGAGATTAGAGGCAATACAAGAGAGGAAGGAGTCCAAGGGGTTGGTTTAGAGAGCAAAAAAACTGGAGTTAAAAGACCAAGGAAGCTGATATTACTCTCTAGCCTATCTCAGGTAGTCCTTGTAACACACTATCTTGAGGCTGTTAATTAAATACAGGTAAGAATTAGACTTGATTCTTAAAAGAGAGAAGAAAGCCCTAATTTTGAATGGATTAAAATAACACTAATAACAAAACACGTAACATCAACCCAAAAGAAAACTACAAGTAACCTGCCATGGGAAACCTTTGCCTGTTGCATTTAAGGCCCTGGTCTCTCAGAGGCGGTAGAAAGCAAGCACTTCAATGCCTTTTAACCTCACAAAGGTAGCTGGTTAGCCAAGGAAGGAGCTGGGGGTTGCAGAAAGCAGCTGGCTCACCTCATTGTGCTCCAAGCAGCCGACCATGAGCTCGGTCAGGATGACCACCCCGGTCCTGCCCACCCCAGCGCTGCAGTGCACCACGATGGGCGGGTTGCAGGGGTTGCTGCTGTCCAGCACGCTGTTGGTGTGGCGGCGCACCGACTGGATCTCCTCCAGGTAAGCTGCAAAGAGAAAAGGCAGGCGGGGTTGCAGACAGCTATACGTCTACATGTAAAAATGGGGAGGCAAACACAACATGGAGAAGGCATTCTTTGTCCAAGTGGCAGGAATTCACAGTTTTTACAACATCCTGATTATTTTGGCCTGGATGCAGTGAGCAGCACTGGATGCAGCAGATACCAGCTGGGTGTTAGTGATTACTTGGGAGCCTGCTCCTTTAAATTAAATAGTTCTTTTAAAATATCTAATTCTGTCGTGTCCCCCCGCAAATCTCCAAGTCCCCAAAGCAGATGATTCTAGACATTACTTACAGCAATGCCCACCATTAACAAGCTGGGATCAAAATAACAGCTAAGTCCCACTGAAACTACTGCCTGTCAATGGCACTATCAGATGGAAAGAGAGCATCCATCTGCCCTGGTTCTCCCATCCTCCCTCCTCCCTTTTAGGGTGGGACAGACTCTCACCCACCTCTCTGCTCTGGGTCTGTTTCTCAACAGTTCCCAGCCCTTCTGGGAGTTCATTGTCTGCTTCCCCTGAAGCCATTTCTAGAAAGTGCATGACTCAAGAACAGTTGTCTTGTTCATGGTGTGTTTATCTAACCAAGTGACACAACTACCCTGACCTCTAAGCATCATTCCAGCATAGCCTAGATGCGTGACAAAGATGATGGACCTCACCCAGAAACGTAGATCCAGATGCATAACTCTTAGACACCTCACTTCCCATCACCAGTCAGTGGGTGCAAGCTGAACTTTCCTGCCCTGACTCCTGGTGTCACGGCACTGCAGCCTGGGCAGTCCTTTTGCCACAGGCAGCCGTAGCTAAGGCCTACTAACATCAGAAACTCTGTGTTTCAATGCACGCACTGAAATGGGACTGTACGTGGTGGCAAACAATGGGACGGAGGAAATGAGGACAGTCAGGTCCCAATTACTGTCACACCCAACCACAGCTACAGGGGTTGGCAGGAGAAATAAAGCATGAAACAAAACTAAGAACTGGACAACAGCTCTGCCTTAAAGCCAGATCCTGTGGCACTCCTTTGCCAAAACTGAAATGTCATTCTTTTCTGCCTTGGTGACAGAACTGGGAAAAGAAGGCTGTTATTGACATCAAGCTTATTCCATGTAAAAGGAAGTGCACCACTGAAGGACTGTAGCCGTGTCAAGACTGAAGTGGAACTAATGGACCTTCCTGAGGGAGGACTGAGTTGCCTGCAGTTGCAGAGCTGTCAGGAACTAAGAGGGGCAGGCAACAACAACACATCAGTGCACCGTGGGCTGATTCCTTCAGTGGTAACTTAAGGGTCTCTACGTCCCACTCTACTGCAGAGGCAGAGGTGTGTCTTTAGTTAAGTAATGGTTGAACTCCTGTTACTTAACAGGGTAGTGTTTATTCCTTGGGAAGAAGTAGGAAGCATTATTAACTCAATAGAGATGAATATAATGTCTGTCTTCTCAGAAATGCATATACCAGGACCATATCTAATTGGGAAGGCCCTTAGTATTGCTTGGGTACTTGGAAGAGTGGCAGTGAGGTCACATTTACTGCATATGGGATGGAGCCCTCTGCTCTTTTGCAACATGACTGATGCCTGTGGATAACTAAATGCTGGCTGACAGCAGTAACAGCCTCCTATGGAACTGGAGGAGTTGTGCTGTATTTCACTAATAAGAGAACCTCTCTAATCACATTTCTGTGCAGCCCAGTATCTCCTACACTCATTAGGGAGTTAGGAAGTGATAACTTACATTAACAGATCAGCTAACAGAGGTATTGATGTAAAACTTCCTGAGTCTTTAGCACTGCTGATGCCTGATTTTTTCTCCTCTTACGTCAGGCCTTTCAGGGCCAAAATCCTCAATCACCTTAGCTCCTACCTCTTGAACCCCAATTTGTTCTCCAAATCACAGCAAAGCACAGCCTTTATATACTCAGCAATAACCATTTAATACCAATCCCAGCTGTAACTAGGTGCAAAGAACTGAACCCAGTGTGAGCAACCTTTGATGTATGTTATTATGCAAGTTAAAGAAATCTTACATAAAAAGCCCTGGACTTCTTCTGGACACCCATGGTCTGGCCAGTCAGTGTACTGCAAATGCCACACTGTCCTCTCTTGTCCAGACAGAAGATGCTTGACTTTCAGACCAGTAGTTGCATAGCAGCCAGAATCCGTGCGGAACTTGGTTGTCACCTTGAACTTCCCGTAAGTGGCTGAGCTGTGCTTAGAGCCCAGTTTGGGCCAGTAACGATGACTCTTACTTCTTCCTCCCTCCTTAACAACAAAAGGAAACCCAAACAAACAGAACAAAACCATTAGTTCCTGCAACTAAAATTCTTTACAGAGGGCATAAAACTCTGCAGGTAAGCCAAGTATTGTTATTTCAAATGCAGGGAGAGCAAGGAATATCCTACAAAGTAAAGAAAATATGCATTGAAACATTTAACTCTCAGACATATATTTCTAAGAGTAAAAATACATGAAGAGCTAACTCTTGTCTTGAGGTGAAAGCCAGCTACTGCTTAAAACACCTTGGTAGATGCTCTCCTCCCAGAGAAGCTTCTCCTTTAAATGGAAGGAGACTCTCTTCAGCAGCTTCTAAGTATCTGTTGCTGATCAGCCTTGGGAACTGGACAGTGACTTGATGTGCTATGGCACTCCCTGTGTCTGCTAACAGCACCCCTGCACAAAGCTGAAGGCAGCGTTAGTTAGCACCATGTGCCAGCTGTTATAACGCAGCACATAGTTCTTGGATTACAATGGAAATAACTGTTTTGCTTGGCATAAGAACAAAAAGATTTCTTCTTTTTTTTTTAAACATGAACACTTCTGCAGAAACAACAGCTCCTGGTCTCTGCAGCTGATAAGAGTGATGGCATGCAGGACTGGCCTTGGGCAGGGGGGAAGTCTGTGTCATTTTAACCAGGAGCAGTTCAGTGCTCTCAGTGGAAACATCTTTGTTTGGCTTGGCCAAGCTGGAGCGAAGCAGGGAGAAGGGGGAGTGCTGCTTGTTTCGCTTTAGAACTTGCCAAACTCAGTATCAGAAAGTCACCATGTCTAGTATTATAGCAGGCATATGTTCAAACAGAGCAAGCGGAAAAAGGATTGTTGATAGAAAGAAGAGGTTTCCTGGAGTGGGAAGTGATGATAACAGGAGATCTGCTCTCACCAGAAAGAGCCGTGCTCTGTGATTTTACGTACCTCCTCAGCTGTGACCATGGCTATAACATTCACCCCCTGTTCCCACACCATCTGCCAGAAGTCATGGCATGTGTGTGGCAGAGGCCCCTGGGTAGCGATGTAGTGCCATTCCTCTCCACCTACAGTAACCTGGGAGGAAAAGAACAGAAAATACCCAATGAGTGCCCAAATTCACAGCAGTGCCTGTCCCATTCCCTCAAAATTCTGAACAAGAAACACCCTTTTATAAGAGCAAATTGGACAAAACACGATCTTTGGTGTTTCCAAGTTCTTTCTTGAAGCCTGCAAACATAGAGCATTGACCAAAAATGTTGTCTATTTCTCTTGCCATTGCATCTGGATCATACAGATGAAAAGAGGTTGAGGCTGTTTTGCTGAGGCTCTGTTTCTGATATGCCTTAAAGACAAATAAGCAGCTGACTGAGCTCTTGGGCTTTGTGACAGAGCCACGATGAGGGAAAAAGTGGGCAGCAGCAGAAGTGTCTCTATGCATTAAAAAGGCAACCGCATTGCTGCAGACAAATATGATAGCGGTGTAAAGAGCCTGAGTGCAAATGTCATTTTCAGCAATGAAAGCTAAAGAACTCTGCTGTTTAGGATCTCCCTCAAGTCTTTTCCACTCAGGCAAAAAATAACTTCTTAAACAGACTCTCATTACACTGAGCACTGCTGAAGATGTGGCCAAGCTGTCCCTAGGGGATGCAGTTATTCCCACACACTGTACATAACGCAAAGCTCGGATGGGCCTCTTGCCAGCTATTAATGAGATCAAGACAGGCTTCATTTCAAGTTAACTCTTCCTCGCTCATCTTGGGTTTTTCAGCTCAGAAGCTGCAAACTACTATGAAGTAAATCCAGCATATTAAATGGTTTTCATATCATAGAATGGTTTGGGTTGGAAAGGACCTAAAGCTCATCCAGGTCCAAGCCCCCTGCCATGGGCACGGTCACCCCACACTAGACCATGTCACCCAAGGCTCTCTCCAGCCTGGCCTTGAACGCTGCCAGGGATGGAGCATTTATAATTTCTTTGGCCAAATTTAACATGATCTAAAGCTGTAGTCATACAAATCTATTTCCCAACACATAACTGGATTACCAACCACATCTTATAGAAGCATTTGCATGACAACAAGTATCTGTAAAGCACGAACATAGATTTACACACTGTCAATTAGGCAGTGCCCTGAGCATTCCCTTGGAGTTAACCAGTGTAGAACACTGCTTCATTTACCTGACCGAGGCAGATCTTCATCTAACTATGAAGTTTAAAAATACACCACCAACAAAATGACTTGATTATTAAAAAAATATGATTTTATGGGGGCTTATTTGCTATATATCAAGAAAGGTTTATTATAAAAAGGGGTTTTCCCCCAACATTTTAGGTAAAAAGCCAAACCACTGAGAGCTACCAGCTCGCAGTTGGAAATATGCTTACCAGCAACAAGGAAAACCAAACAAAGATGGCAAGGTAAAACATTGTCCCTTCTCAGGCTAAGAGCTCCTAATTCTCCACATTAGCCCTGAGTCACTGCTCACAACAAAGAGAGATATATATATATATACACATAACATACATATTATATACAGTATTATAAATATATGGGATTTATGCATATAAATCCCAGAGATGATGATTTACAACAGGAATATCGACACATCCACAAATATGAAGGTGCTGGTGGACAATGCTACAGGAGCCTTGTGTTTAACCACCTACTGTGTTTGAGGTACAGGTCTTTGAACACATCTGCAGAAATAGAATGGCCTTCTGTTATTTAAACAGCTGCTCATTAAGCTGAGACGCTTGGGGTTTTACACCTGTAACTAGCATGTTGTATGATAACACATTTTTCTCTGCACTGAAAACCATTTTCAACTCTGTATCAGCTCATTTTCTTGTTTCTTCCTATGCAGCATTCTTCTCTTTGAATGATGGTTAAAATCTGCAAGAGCAATGCAGGCAGACTCGAGTTCTTCTCCTAGGTGGGAATGAATAGAAGCTGCACAGCACTAACCAGCATCCTGCATCTGAACTGCTTTTGTGCTTGCATGCTCATGTGCAGTACTGCTGGGACAGTATTACTGAGCTCTTTAAGTTAATACTGACCTGAGCAGTCAAACCAAGTGGTATTAAGAACTTCTTTGTTTGATCCATAAATTTAATCACACTTTTTCTCTGTGGTACAGACAATCTTCATATCTTAACAGCGAAGCTCAGTGGCAAATAAGCAGGATTACACGCTATTTCTGAGCAGTGGGAGCTGGAATCCTCCAGGCATGGATCTTATCAGTCTTTGTCTACTGACTTCTGGTCCAAATATCCAGCCTTCTGGCACATGATACAAAAGGACCATAAACAGTCTGGAGGGAATGGGATGTCTGGAATGTTTACTGCATTCTAATGCCCTGACTGCAGGACATTAAAAACTGACTCTTGGGGTGCAAACACACACGTACTGTGCTACTAAGGTAAAGCTTGCAGATGCAATTTTACCTTCTAAGCAAAAGCACATCTGCTTGGCTTCCCCATGCAGGGAGAGGAAAACACTGGCCAGGACTCTTGTCATGTGCATGTTCCTGGGTGCTCTGTGAATGAGAGATGTGTCCGATGCTAACACACAAGGAAAATGTGGACTCAAAACCAGCCAAGGAAAATCCTTTTCTAGCTAGTGTTGTTTTGTGAGCATCATTTTTGTAAGGAAGCTCTTTTTTTGTTGGCGTCCTACAAAGGAGATGAAAAATGTTGGGCTCAGAAATGAATCATAGCAATGTCTGATTCTGCAAAACCTCAGCATCTATCTAAGGTGTTCAAGGCCAGATTGCACAGACATGGCAGGGGGCTGGAACTGGATGACCTTAAGGTCCTTTCCAACCCAAACCAGTCTGGGATTCTGTGAACAGGAATTAACACTGTAAATCACAACCAAGGAGGCCAGCAAGTCTCTTTTAAGTTCTTACTCCAGGAAAATACTAATTTAGCAGAGGTTTTATTTATTATTTTTGAATTATTTCATTTTAATTTGGATTTTGCCAATGAGAAAAAGTAGACAGCCCTTCTCTGACAAGAGGATCTGTCATCTGAGGGACAGGAGTAAAAGCCAACAAAAAGGACTTAGCATATAGTACTGGAAGCCTAAAGAAAACCAAGCAGCTACAGCCACTGCAGGATAGTTCATTGGTAAAACCTGCCACATTTGTAAGTATCAGACCATTTCTTACATTATTTCTACATTGTTTCTTACATTATTTCTATCATTTCTTACATTATTTCTACATTGAATTAAAAAGAAATCTGAAGTTTCTTGATAAAAAGTTATTTTGCAGCAGAAATTCAATGCATTCTCCAACCAGAGACACGCTAAGGTGTAAGGTGTTCTCTTTATCAATGCTCTTTCTATCAATGCATACTTAAAAAAATCTTCTAGAATCACTAAACTCATCATAAAAGGAGGAAATACATTATTTTTATATATAATTGCTGTATCTATGTGAATGTGTTAATCCTAACTACATGCTTTCGCTTTGGGCATGGAACTTCATACCCAGAGCTCCATCCCTGGGTTCTAAATATCATATCCTATATACTAATAGATAGAAAAAATACTTAAGCCAAACCTCTTGCAATATGCCTGGCAGGCTGCACCAGTCAGTCACAGGAATTCATTCCATAGGGACTGTTCCAGTGCCCCAGTGGCCTGCAAGGCTACTGGAACTGATAAATCAGAACATACACTGACTGAACATCCTTTCAGGTGCACGGTCATGACAATCACATCACAGTGCAGGTGGTGGTCTGCTCTAACCCGTATTCATGAGGTTTAAGAAACACAGCATCTCTTTCTACATTAACCAATGGAGGTATTCCTCCACCAGCTGGCAGAGGTGGGCATCAGTAAAGTAAAGATGCCTCTCTGAAATGAATTCCCAGCCTCTAGCAATTAAATCAACTCATGCATGCTATGGGCACAGGCTGTCTATAGAAGCTGTGGCTGCCCCATCCCTGGCAGTGTTCAAGGCCAGGTTGGACAGAGCCTTAGGAGACATGGTCTAGTGTGAGGTGTCCCTGCTGATGGCAGGGGGTTGGAACTGGATGAGCTTTAAGGTCCCTTCCAATCCAAACAATTCTATGACTCTACGTTAGTTGACAGGGGACTTTAGAGATGCTGACACAAAGGTATAGCGATGTGTTCTAAGTTACATTTTCAGAAGCTCCAGAGCTACAAAGGCAAAAAGCAGCTTTAACGTGCCTTCAATTTGCAAAGCAAAGTTCAAGGAAGGTTTTACCTTTATGTGTGAAGCGTTGATGTAGCCTGTGTTGTTTTCTTTGGTCGGCACCAGCTCTACTCTGTTCTCCTCATAAGGAACGACCTCCCTGATGCGGTTGCGCTCAGTGTTTTCAGGCAAGGCAGCAGTGGTGAAGATCCCATCTGCCTTTTTCTTTGGAATCTGCTCGTATTCTGTAAACACCATCCCCTCTTCCAACTTCCTCTTCAGGATTTTGCACTAAGATTTAACAGGAAGGAACATCAATCCATTCATTCCGCCTGAAGGAACATTTACCACTAGACTCATCCATCTGTGCTTTGAATTGCAATATACAGCCATAGCATCCTCTCAGTCACTTCTTTCAGTTGCAGTTGTCTGAGGGAACATGACACACACTGATTTCTACTGAGTAAAACCACAAGCTGATTTTACATTTTGATATTCTACCTTCCTATTATTTAAGACTGATACCATAAAAAGCAAAACCCTGCTAAATACAATCCTGGTTCAGTATGAATTTGCGTGTGATTTCACCACAATGGATAGCTGTAAAAGCATTTCATAGTTCTCTAAGATCATGCTGCAAGAAGTGTGATGTGGTTCACGTTATCAAAATACTCCCTAACTTGAAAACATGCAACTTCTGTGGTTGGGCACAACCCTGCATATGGATAGGCAGAGGTTAAGGTCTGTTCTCTGCATACCAGACAAGACAAGGCTGAGAATCTTTATCCAGAAAGCCTCTTTGCAAATATGTCTTTCAAATCTTAATGGCAGCAAGTGGTTTTAATTTCTGGTATTCCATATCCATGCACACACATCAGAAGGCAAACAACTCTTGTTTGACAATTTAATCCTGTTCAGAGACATTAACTGAGCTCCTCAGCTGTACCAGGACATGGAATACGGGATCTATGGATGATCACTGCAGGAAAAACTGCCTGACCAAGAGAAAAACATACAAAATGTTTGATTTAGAGCTTGAGCTTGTATAGTCACATTAAATAGTGAACAGTCTCAATTATCACCGACTTCAGTAAATGTTCCAGGCATTTAACAGAATCCAAAGTCACACCAGTGTTAACCCCAGACCTCTTCCATTAATGCTTCTGAACACCTTTAAGAGAATTTTCCTGACATTTTAAATCAAATGTTCATATTTTAGGGACTTCATGCTGCTGACAACAAAGGGAATGAGAGACATTGCATGAGCCTCCATCTTACCCTCTCATCCATTGGCACCTTGGTGACTTCATCCTGGCTGTCCTCCGGCACTGGAACCCTAGCAACTGAGAGTCCGTTCAGTGCTGCCAACATCAAGGGCCTCTTCTGGGCCTCCAGGCCTGCCATCTTCTGCTTTTCTAGATTCTTTTGGCAAGAAAAGGCACGTTTTCATCTCTGTGTGATTATTTATAATGCCAGTAAAATGCTGGAATGTTTTTTTAATCTCCAAAATCTGCAACTCTCTGGCCAAGGAATGCAGATGATCACCATTAGCATCGTAAATTCAAATACAACCTCTATTCTTCCTGTTATTCCTCAAAGGCCTGCTCCTACATGAGCCCAGAATTTTAATTTCAAAGCAGCAATCCCAGCGTGTAATTCGGTTTACGTGCCATTAAAAGGCACATAAATACAATCCTGAGCCTTTTCCTGCAAACGTGATGCTGGATGTAGGACACACAAAGCATCACCCTGTTGCGTTAAAGTAGCCCTGCCGTAGCCAAGGTACCTGGGGCACCTTTGGAAAAGCAATCATTTCAATCTATTACAGCAAACAGCAAAACACAGGCCATTGTTTCCCTTCTGTGATGGCAATACTTAAAATGAGAAGTCTCTTGATGCACTCAGCTATTACAGTGATTCAAACAGCACCCGTGATGTATTTTGCACTAAAACCTGAGCTCATGTATCCCAGAAACCGAACCTATCAGCAGCCAGGAAGGAATACTGTTTATCGTGCCCATGCATGGAATATTACATTCCATTTCCTTAACGCTTTCAGCAGGATTTGGAAGGAGAGATGAGCACAAGGGAAGCCTGGTTCTCTGCATGCCTATGGTGTGGACACCACACAGGCCAAGCTCAGCTCCTAGAAACACACTGCTGAACATGAATGCCCTCAGACATCTGTAAACGGCTTGATTGTTCAAAAGCCCCGTGAGCTTTTTCCTCACTACTGGGTTCCTCTGCAGCACAATGTAAAAAAGCAAACAAAAAAGCCAAACAAAACCCCAAACCCATCTGCTTTCTTTTCCAGCTTTCAGAGAGTAGGAAAATGCAAGTATTTTTCCTTTGTTTGGGGATTTTATTATTATTACTCCTGGCAAAGTAAAATAGAAAAGTCTGTGTTTAAAAGATCATGGTCACCAAATTACCATTCATATAACAGGCAATTCCTGTGACAAAACGAAGGGCTGCATGTGTTAAGACTGCTGACCTAAGCTGAAACCACTTTAAAAGCTTTAACGCTAAGACTACACCTTCCAAAACAACAACAACAAAGAACCTTTTGACCAAAGGCTGCTCCGAATGTACTCGTACAGCAAAGGGTACTCAAACAGCACCTCTAAGCTCTCTTCTTGCCTTTATTTCCATCCTCCAATCCTTTGCATTCCTGTTTCTCAGTGTTTCCTTTCCTCAGAAGATCAAAAGAACACATATATGCTGCTTGTTACAGTGGAGTAGACATTGACTTGATTACTTACAGTCAAGCACCTATTTTACATTTAAAGTATAAGATCCTGCAAGGAGTAAATTCAGTCTCTATGATACAACTCAGTGGCCCAAGCTTGACTCCTAGCCATTACATCAGCGTAAGGATCACCAACAACCAAGGAGCACTTTGAATACACAATACTATTTCAATCTAGCTAGTTGCTGATCTAGTACGTTACAAGCTCTTTTCTGCTCTGGACCATTTAGATGCTTTATTAATTTGCTTTAGGATTTGTTTCTGTTTCAGACCTCAATCCTGAAGAACTGCAGCACACATTTCACCTTCTGTGACTGCACTTGCACTTCTCAGAGCGTTGCATCAAGCGCATCCCTCAGTCACTAAAGGGTAAGCACCCCTCATGCTTCTGCCACTGCTTGCAGTGGCACTGGAACCTTGAAATGCTTCTTATTCTGAAGCCATTGCACATTTAAAAGGGTTCTGTTTCTCATTCTTGAGTACATTTCTTAATGAATAAGCAATCCAGATCCTCAACCACACAGCCTCTCCATCTGCTACTTTTGGAATTAGATCTACAGTCACTCACTACTGGTAAAACCAGCAATCCATGGCCTACAGCTACCAGGCTTGCATTCAGGTAACTGTGTTATGTAAAGCAGCAGGGAAGGCAATCTGAGGGATCACCTGGAAAAGTCAGGTGAGTTTCTGCTGTGATACAGATTATGTGATGCTTAACTCTACAGCCCTACAAAGAAGCAAGAAAATGCTTGTGCTGAAACACAACCTCCTGCCCATCTCAGCAAACGCATTTCAGACCCACCCTGCCTTCAAATCCACACAGGCAGAGGGGAGCAGGTACTAAGAGGGAATTTGTGGTCAGCCTCCTCATCACCCAGTGCATGCTTTGCACCCCCCTTGGGCTGGGGCTGCTCTCGGGGTGATGGTGGCACCATCAGCTGGATCAGGCATGGACCTGGCGAGCAGGCGACAAACCACACTGGAAGAAGCATACAGCCCAAAACAGGGGTGTGAGATAGGCCCTTTTGGTGGCCACAGAGATCCACAAACCCAAACTGGATCTGGCACTTAACATCACATTTCCTAACTTCGAGCAAATCAACATCTACCACCCAGGTGTTCCCCCCAGTTGACTGATCCAGCAGTTTTTGGTAGGCAAACAGATCTGTAGGACCACCAAGAAGCCACCGCCACAGAGGAAGGCACTTACCCTCATCATGATTTCTCTTTCTATAATGCTGTCCTCAATAGAAAACATTTCAGACACAGGTCTTTCCTTGACAGGTTCTTTCTTGACCCGCTCCTTCACACTTGTGAGGTCAGGCTCTGAGATAGAGGGCCCGAGCGAGGACCCGTTTATTGCCATTTGATCAGTTCGAGACACACTGATGGCTTTGGACGGCCCTGGCCTCATGGCCTTGGCCCTGGCTACAGCCACAGAAATGCTAACAGGGTCCTGCCTCAGGGCCCCGTTGCTGACACTTTTCCGAGGCCCAGGATACTCTGGAGGAGGTTTATTTGGTATTCTAGCCAGGGCAGCTTGCAGCTGAGCGCTGTACTCCATGTTCTTATGGAGGGCTGTAATCTGCGACACAGATTCCGAGGTCTCTTCTTCCTCCTCGCTTTCACTGCTGTGTATCAGCATGGTGGCATCAGAGAAGGTCTTTTTGTGATGATAATGAGGAACTTGCTGAACTTCATGCCCCATCTGAACCGACTCTTCCGGCTGCACTTGCTCCCGCAGGGTGTTCCTGCGCGGCAGAGGAGCGTTTAAAGTCTTCAGCGCCATGGCTTCTATGCCACGTACCATGTTGCTGATGACCTCCAAGCTGTGGCGCTTGTTCACAGCCGCGTGGTGCTTCACTGCCAGGAGGGGCTCGCTGACCTCCTGCAGCGACTGACGGACCACGGGCGAGCTGTCCTCTTGGAAGGTTTTAACCGAGAGCTGGACCTTGCGAGTGACCAGGTCAGGACTGCTGCCACTGACGTACTTGTGCCGGTGGCTCGCCAGGTCCGGCGTGCTCGTGGCGGGACGTGGACGTGGGTACGGAGGTGGGGGTCTGAAGAGATAGTTCTTTAACATGTGAGCGGTGTTGTAGCTCTGGCTGCTCTGCAGCTGCATGTTAGCCAGCTCGGGTGTGCTGACCGTGTGGGATATGGCACTGGCTGCTGTCTTACTCTGAGCAGCATTACTAGGGTTCATTTGGTCAGACGGGGCGACAGGCTTGTTATAGCCACTGCTCTGGGGTCCGTATGTAACTGTGTAAGGATGCCTCTCTCGAATCTCAGGCTGACTGTAAACTAGGTCTTCTGGCTGGTTATAAGCATGTGTGTTTCCAATATTGAGATTCCTCAAAGACTGACTCTGGCTATCCATCTGGATCACCCCTCTCTTCATTTGCCTCATGACGGTTTCATAGTCTGGAGTTGGCCGGTAAGAGGGTACTATGATTGCACTATGTCTGTGGCTGGGGATATAGTCTGCTCTCATGATGTCACTTCCAGGGATGCTCAGGTTGGAGGACACTGGAGATGCCTGGATGAAGTTCTGTGAGCGATTGAGAGAGTTCATGCTGTGGGCGCTGCATACGCTCCCATTGGGTCTATTACCATTCAAGTAGCTGAAGTCCATTGGACACCTATCCAAACTGGTCTGAGACCTACAGTAGAAAGTTTCTTCATTTCCATGGAAAATGCTATCTGTGTAGAGCAAAGACAAAGACATTGATGATTTTAACATACAAGGATTCATTCCACGTTAACAAAACTTCAAATGAAGCCTGCACCAATGAGTACAGACACAGCTTGGTGTACAACAACTGCTAGGAACATTTGGCCTTGGGAGCATCCCTGAGTCACTGAAACAGAACTAAAACAAAGCTACTCACGTAAATGCTGCCAGCAGTTAGCAAAATATGGTAGTTCAGATCCTTGTGGGAGAAATGAAAGGGGAAAGAGAAGAAGTGTTTTTGCCTGGGGTGGCAAGGAAGAATAAGGGGGCATCTCCTCCCTCAGCATCCTGTAATGATTCACTGCTGCTGCCACCTTAAAAACCCCAGTGCTGCTAGCCTGTGGCAAACCTAACAGTTCTCTTGTCTTGTCTGTTGGTGCGCTGCTGTCTGTGCTCTGAAGTAGCAGAAGACTCTGAAATTGGAAATCCTACTCCAAACCAATCAACAGTGTTGAGGACCTGAAGTACAACACTGCAGCGTGATCAAGACTCAGAGGAAAACCACAACCAACCAGAACGCTCTACAGATGCACTAGAGAACATTAAACATTTCAGCAAAGGATATCTGAGAGGGAATCAAGATGGTAAAGATGATGACAGCTTTAGGCAAGACTTTCCCTGTTGAAAATCTTGTGAGAAAGGAGTAGCAGCTCCCAAAGCTGCAAAATCAGCTAACCCATCAGTACAGAGAAGTCTGTGTAAAACTAAGAGAACTTTACAGCTCTTCTCAACCTGAGAATGTCCCTCTTCAGACCCTCAGTTTTCCAGTAAATCAGTAGCACTCCCTAAGAGAAACCTTTTACTGTATGCAGGGAACTAAACTTATCAAGTTCTACTTTAAAATTAGTCAGACCATCACAACTCTAAACCACTTTCGGGTATGACTAAGATCTCCTCTGCTGCTGAGAGCACTTCAACTGTGCCTCTCATGCACTGCAAACAGACCTGGCTACATGTATTCTAAAAGGTGGTGTGGTTAAGGGTGTGAGATTCAAGGTGTTTAGAGGCTGGGCACCCTTCCCAGCCTTGATCAAAGTAACCTGGTACAACCTCTCAGCCAATTCATTTGTCAAATATTGGGGTAAAAACAGTTAACCCTCCCTACGTCAGCAAGACTAACAACGTAGGCAGATGTTGGTGAAAAGTCAGCAGAACAGACCATCTAAATACACAATTTCATGACCAGAAGGCTCTGATTTCTCCTTTTCCCTACCTCTGTTTCTCCCCCTGGCCCCAGCTGGCAATGCCTTTGAGTGCAGCCATCCTACTTCCTTTCGAGATTACCTTTCCAGCTCACTGAACTGGAATTCCAAGTTTAAGGTCCATATAATCATGCACAGACATTTCAGAGAAATTTGAAAACCGAAATTGGACTTTAAACAGAAGATTTACTGCAACATTAACCATAAAACTACTCCCTCTTTTCCAGCAGCTCCCATTTGACCATGACAGCATTAGAAACCTAGACATAAAGGCTAGGAGCCTCTTTGCATGCACATAACGTTGAAGTCCATTAAAGGCAAAATATATGCTCTAAGTACCTTGTGAATTATGTGTTTCAGTGTAGTGTTCTCCACACTGGACGTGCATAGGAGGCAGTATAAATGGATGTTGTCTTGGCTGAAATAAAAGCACAAGGTAAAATAAAAAGCATTAGCAACTTGGTTTGCTACAGGTTTTTTTGCAGCTGAAACAAGAGAAACGGTTCTATGCCCTTTCCACTGAATACAGCCCTTTCTTACCCAGCCAAACACACGTGGCTTGGTGCTTCTTTATGGAACAGAGAATAGCGTTTTGCAAACTGCTAAATTCTGTTGCAGAGCCCAAACCTGACCAGTGAAAACTCCTTTAGGCTCAACCCCTTCAGGAAACAACATCCAGACTCTCTGCTCACTTATGGCTTTTCACAAGTTTAGTAAAAAGCCCTTGCCCTTGAAGAATTAAACCAAACCAAACATCCCATCAGGACAAAAGGAGGAGATGGAACAAATTCAAGGACCTAGAACACTGCTATACAAGCAACAGGAGTACATATAAAGTAACATGAATACTGGGTTCCCTAGATGATGAATTGGAGCCTTCCTCCAACAATCTGCACTGCAAGAAGCTTTTGAACACAACAAGTATCATAGGGGCCAATTCAGCATTTAATCAGTAGGCTCACTTGCAGCAACCAGCTTTGCCCACTGGTAAACCAATGTGTTTTGCAGTCACATTTTACTACCTGCACTGTAATGTCCTGCCCAGTGTCACTGTGCAGAGCTTAGGAAAGCATACTTTGATATACAAAATAAGCTGAAAGAGAAGGAAGACACTCCTGCCTCGTGAATGTATGAATAATTTCTGAGCAGCGGAATAAAGGCTCTTCATCAAGGCTGATTCAAGTAGTTCAAACTATTAAGGAATACTGCGGATGCCCGAGGCAAAAAAGAAACACCAAATAATTTACCACCTCTGCATGCACATGCACAAAATGAGCACCACACAAGGCAGCTATTCAAGAGGGGGTGGGGAAGGGTTAAAGTCACATTTTCTATGTAAATGGGGGGACGGAATGCGAATCAAAGAATCTGAGCACCCATGAATTCTTGCATACAAAATGGTTGTGTTAAGCCAGAGCTGGAAGATGACAAACTATTTCTGCTACAGCAATGCCTTCCAAGGGTAGAAACCCTGCTCTCACTGAACAAACCAGGCCAAGGAGCCTGCTGCTGATAACCCAAGCAGCAGAGCTTAGCCTGGAATAAACCAAGATGCTGGGAAGTCTAACAAATGGGGAGCAGAGGAAAAATGCAAGGAAGAAGTGACTCCTACTGGGAATGTATAGATCTGGAGCAGCCAGTTTTCTTTGTGATAGATGCTATGGAAGATAACTGCAAGAAATCAAGGATTATTCCTCCCCCCCTCCCGTATTTTTTGGAGGCCCATCTGCCTCTTCTGATGGAACAGGAGAAACTTGAGGTTGTTATTACATTAAGATCTCCTACACTGAGGAGGTTTGGTTGCATCACTGGGTGGCCTGACAGGCAAAAGAACAAGCATAAAATGGGTTTAAAGTAACAGATAAAATACAGGTTCACCATGATGCCAAAACCATATAAAGGGCTTTAACCTGAAAGTAATGAACGTGATCCTCAGCGAAGTGGCAGAGCCTCACCCTTAAGATTCCACTTCTCTTCCCATTTATGGCTACTGATTTATTACCATGCAAGACAAATGAATAGGCAGGTATATAAAGGTATGTACAGTGCAGACAACAGTCAGGAGGCCTTCTTTTCCCCTTTCCTTCTCCCCAGAGAGAACTGTTCCAACAAGTCAACAAAACAATTATGAAAAGAAGCAGCTGAAAGTTCAATGTGAAGGGTTAGCAGCACAGTTCGTTTTTCACCGATGAGCGTTCCTCCTCTTGGTCTTCCTGAGGCTGGGTTTTAAGCCCAAACCTTGTTGCATGCTTATGTTCAAACCATAAAGAGGCTGAAGGATTTGCTTCTTCCTTGAAAAAGGTCCA